ATTCCACCCCGGCTTGTCTTCCTAAGGGGGGTTTATGCAGCAGCGCCACAGGCCGGGGTCAGAGCTGAGAAGGGGTTTCCCACACTTGCTTTCTCGTCTGTAGCACTTACTGTACATGAGGTGTAGAAGTGGGCCTTGTAGGTAATTGGAATAGTGACTTGATACCTGTTAATTTTTAAAATGATGTAGTGAGGTTCAAAAATGATACGTAAAATAACGGGGCACAGGGAAACAGTTTTAGTAATGCTTGTGTCTTTTTTAAAATTAAAAATCTTTTCACATGGAGGCTATTACTCTAACAAAGGAAAACTTTTCGATTGGGTAATCTTCCCTGGAGGAAGTTAATTGGCTATGTTTCATGAGAGAGAGAAGCCAAGTTTGTGTCTCATAATTATAGCTACTAGATGATGCAAGTCAGCTGTAATAAGCCTCTCTTTATTTATTTATTGACTTACTTCCTTAGGAAACCAGAATGTGAAAATATTCTGTGAGGAAATCTGAATGCATGTGAATTCTTTGTGGCCTGATTTTCCTCTGGCTTTCTCGTTGTAGTTGTAGTTTCAATTTCTGTCCGTTTTCGGAGTTTCCATTTGATTTTTCTTGATGAGGCTTTGTTGAGGGTGTGAGAAATGATGCTTGTCTGACGACATGAGATCAGGTTTAGACTGTTATCCCCAGAATGGTATTTGATATGTGCTGTTGTGTTTGATTCCTCTAGGTCACCTGCAGATATTTGATATGTTTGTAGTGGAGAAATGGCCGATTGTGCAGGCCTTTGCACTTGAGGGCATTGGAGGGGATGGCTTTTTTACCATGAAATATGAGGTTTGTATGAAAAGCCGTTTGCTTGGTTTTTGTGTTCCCCCCTGGGTTGCTTCTGTGAAAGGTCCCCCATGTGAGTCTGTGTTGCTAAAACTCCTCAGAAAGCTGGCAGTGACCTCCCAAGGGTCTGTAGCAAGTTAGGCAAACACTTGGAATGGAAAACAATTGTCCCCAAGCTGAGTTCCCATGACCTCTCTTCTTGGACTTTCTCTCTGTCTCCCCTCCTCTCCTTTCCCCATGTTCTGTTAATTCCCTGTCTGTTCCTATAGCACCCTAAGTGGACTCTTTTCATGCTTTTATGTTATTTTACATTTATCACTCACCCGTTCATCCACCTACCCACCCCTGGCTTTGAACTTGGAGCTCCTTGACAATATCAATAATCTTTTTATTGTTACTTGGATGTCAGAAGTTCATGTAATTTGAAACTTATTAAAGATCGATGAAAGGAACAACACAGGATTTTGCACAAGTACAGTATACCAGAGGAATAAAAGGGTTATCTTTTAAGTTAAGAACCAGGTCTTCTGTTTCAACATTCGTGGCATTTAGATGACGATCAATGTTTGTTAGCCCTGGAGGTCTAGTGTGTTTTGTGTTGGACTGCAACAAGGTCAGCAGTTCAACTCCACAAGCCACTTCAAGGGAGAAGGATGAGACTTTCTGCTCCATAATGATTTACAGCCTTGGAAACCCACAGGGATCATTCTGCTCGGCCTGTGGGTCACTGAGTTAATCGACTTGATCGATGGCAGTGAGTTGTGTTTTGTGTGTGTGTGTGTGTGTGTGTGTGTGTGTGTGTGTGTGTGTGTGTGTTTTAAATGAATTAATGAAGAGTGATTTAATGGGAGTGAATTACTAGGAGAAGGGCTGCTCAGAGTACAGCTTTAGGAAGCGTGGCCTGGGAGGTTAACAGTGTGATCACAGATATCTGAGTGCCCCAAAAGGATCCCCAGAGAAATGACCTGCTCGTAGCACTAGAAACCAGAGAGGAAGAGGGGTATTCTGTTAGGAATTGAGCCCATACAGCCTTTGGAGCAAGGCAGGGGCCACTTAAGGGCTTCTGTAGTGCCCCTAGGAAATGAATGGAGGCTGGCCTGGTTGAACTAAACTGCTCCCTCTAATGCAGAGGAGCATGGCCAGGGGGCCCAAGGGAAGTGTGCCACTTAGACTCACTTTTCCTGCTTGAAAACTACCTTGTGGTCACACTGGCAACAAGTCAAGGCAGACCATAGGATAGAAAAGCATACAATTTTATCATGGTAATGTATATTTTTAATTATTTATTGTACGAGGGGGCTTCAAAGAGTTCATGGAGAAATTTCATTATCTTTTTATGCCATTTTTTCCATGAAGCTTTTTGAAGCTCCCTTGGAAAATATATAATTATGTTGTTATATATAAAATGTAATATATAATTATATGTAAAAGTTACTGTATAATTATGTATAATATGTTACATATTATACATAATTATATTATTAACTAGGCGTTTATAGAGTGCCTACTATATGACTGGAACCTATGTGAGCTGACTGATTAATTCTTAGAATAACCCTCTGAGCTAGATACCATTGTTATTCCTATTTTGTAGAGTGGTTTAATAAATTTCCTAAAGTTACAGAGCTTGTGAATTTTAGGGCTGGAGCCAGGTACAAACCGTCTGGCTGCAGAGCCTGCGCTCCTACCCCCTGGGCTACAGATAGGATAGCATTGCAAAGCAGCGTAATAAGAAACCGAAGGGCTGATGCAAGCCAAGTGTGACAGGCCTTCACTTCTTCCTTAAGTGTGTCATATCCAAAAGGGAAAAAAAAAATCCCCTTCCCCAAACCTTTGATGGATAATGTAGCTCTTTACTGTGAGTGGTTTTTTAGGAGGTAGGGTAGACAATGAATATGAAGCAGCACCCAACATATAGGAAGACCTCAAACTCCACCTCAGTGCCCTTCTGTGAGTCCGACCCACAGCAACCCTACAGGACAGAGTAGGGCTGCCCCGGAGGGTTTCCAAGCCTGCGAATCTGTGTGAGCAGAACCTCATCCTCCTGCCTCAGGGAAGCCTGCGGCTTCTAACTGTTTTCCTTATGCTCGGCAGCCGACAGCGAAGCCATGACACCACCAGAGCTCCTCATGGAGTAAGAGCGACCATAAATCTCCTCTTGAGGTCACGTTCTCCAGTTCCTGCCTTTTCTCCAGCTACTCATTTTAAGCACTTTTCCTGCCATCTAGTCCAATCAACCCCCTCCCTGAATTCTCTCCTGACCCAGCCATTCCCAGTGCTTGAAGGTACAGAGCAGTGTGACCAACTGACGGACACTGCCAGTATCCTCTCTGGTCCTCTCTGATTCACTCTGTAAGGGAGACCTGGGAACTACTTGAGCTAGAAAGGCTCGTGCTGGTGCCGAAGGGATCAGTTATCAGGCATCAAAGAACAAAAAATCATATCATTGTGTGCTCACCTACCCCATATGATCGCTGATGACAAATGGGTGCATAAGCAAATGTGGTGAAGAAAGCTGATGGTGCCCGGCTATCAAAAGATATAGCATCTGGGGTCTTAAAGGCTTGAAGATAAACAAACGGCCATCTAGCTCATAAGCAACAAAGCCCACATGGAAGAAGCACACCAGCCTGTGTGACCACGAGGTGTCGAAGGGATCAGGTATCAGGCATCAAAGAACAAAAAATCAAATCATTGTGAATGAGGGGAAGTGCAGATTGGGGACCCAAGACCCATCTGTAGACAACTGAAATCCCCTTACAGAAGGGTCTCAGGGAGGAGACAAGCCAGTCAGGGTGCAGTGTAACAATGATGAAACATACAACTTTCCTCTAGTTCCTAAATGCTTCCTCCACCCCCCACTATCATGATCCCAGTTCTACCTTACAAGTCTGGCTAGACCAGAGGATGTACACTGGTACAGATAGGAACTGGAAACACAGGGAATCCAGGACAGATGATCCCTTCAGGACCAGTGCTGAGAGTAGTTATACAGGGAGAGAAGGGAGGGTAGAAAGGGGGAACCGATTAAAAGGGTCTACATATAACCTCCTCCCTGAGGGGTGGACAACAGAAAAGTGGGTGAAGGGAGATGTCAGACAGTGTAAGATATGACAAAATAATGATAATTTATAAAATATCAAGGGTTCATAAAGGAGGGGGAGCAGGGAGGGAGGGGAAAATGAGCTGATACCAAGGGCTCAAGTAGAAAGCAAATGTCTTGAGAATGATGATTGGCAACAAATGTACAAATGTGCTTGACATGATGGATGTATGTATGGATTTTGATAAGAGTTGTATAAGCCCCCAATAAAATGATTTTAAAAAGAAAGAAAGAAAGGCTCATGCTGGCTTGGGAGGTCAAGAGAAGACCCACAGATACTTATAACTAAATTGTTAAAGCTTCTATTTTATTACATGACTATCCCCAGAAGGAAGTCCTTAACTCAGAGAGTTTTTTGTGCCTGTTGTGGCAGCACGAGAAAGGAAGCCAGGCCTAACCAGGGCTTTCACTTGGCATGGAGGCTGGGGCATTGAATCAGAAAGAAAGATTTTTTCCTCCTCGGAAGCTGCTGGGGAAGTTCTTCTGCTGGGGCTTCCCCTGCCCCAGCTTCCTCTTATTCTTCAGCTCTGGACCGTGACCTGGCAGTACCATTTTATACCAACTAGCTCTGTGAGGGGAAGTTGCCGAGAGCAAGCTTCTGATCACAGAGTAAGCAGAGAGCATTCACCTACTTGTATATAGACAAGCATAAGGTCCTCATGTTTCAAAGTCCAACAAACGAGGCTTGTGAAGCAAGATGTAAGAAAGATGCAAGGCGAGATGAACGGGTCTGTTTTATTCTGTTTGTTTATTAAATACTTTTATTGAGGGCTCCCACATCTCCCATGACAATCAGATACACATTCATCCAGTGTGTCAGGCACATTTGTACACACGCTGGCATCCTCCTCCTCAAAGCATTCCCTTCCCACTTGAGCCCCTAATATCAGCTCCCCATTTCCTCCCCTCCTCCCCTGATGAACATGTTTTTAATGAAGATTTTCTCCAAGAAACAAAGTAAAAGTGAGAAAAAGCTCTGTTTTGTACTTTTTAAACATCCAGTTGTAAAACAGAAAATGGGTACAGCAGATCAAGCAGCAGAACAGAAAAGGAAGATGATGACACAATAGGAAAAATCAGAAGTCTCCCGTTCTTGATGGAATTAAAGTGTGCGTTCAAAGTCTAACTCACATAGCTGACCTATACTTATATAATTTCTTTTTTTCGACATGTTTTAAATTCTAAACCATTGGTTAAACCAATGACACACTATCAGTACATAGTGGGTATGCATTGGGCTGCTGATGACAAGGTCAGTAATTCAAAACCACCAGCCAGCTCTGCAGGGGGAAGATGAGGCTTTCTACTGTGAAGATTTGCCATCTTGGAGACTCAAAGGGACAGTTCTACCCTGTCTTAAAGGTTCGTGATGAGTCAGCATTGCCTCGATGGCAGTGGAAGTGTTGCCCCAGGGGAATAATTGGTAATGTTCTCTGACATAAAATGACAACGATGTCTCTAAGGTGAACCAGAGACATATTTAAACCATAGATAGATGAATGGGTTTTACGCTTGCACTTAACTTTTAGCCCCAATCTATGAAAAATTAGTTCTTATGCCATGGCCCTGCATGACGCTCACCCTCATGAAGAGGAGGCCTTCTGCCCCTGTGAGGCCTCACAGCCTCGGACTCGGAGGCAGGTGGACTGTCTCTCAGCTGGAATTGACAACATGGCAGTGAGTGGGGGGTTTGGGTTTGTTTGTTTGTTTGTTTTACTGCTATTTGATTTTTTTAAAATCATGGGCAGGTATTTAAATTTTTTATTGTAGACCAAGGCAAAATATACACTTATGAGGGGCCATCAGAAGTTTTTTAGCTAATTCCATTGCCTTTAAATTTCATTATTCGTGTTCTTTTTGAAGCCCCCCAATACATGTATGTTGGTGTGAGTATCCCCACTGAAGATACTCAGTGGTTCTGAAAAGATCATTTATTGAATGAGCATTTATTGAATAACATTTATTAGTGTGAACAAATTCTGATATTGATACACTTCTATTTATTATTCCACCAAGATGGTAATTTCTGAGTATCAGAAAGTAAATTCAGATTGTCTTAATAATATTAATCCATTAATCATTTCGATGCTCTTGCCCTTGTGCTGCAGTTGCAGGATGTGAGTTTGAACTTATGGAATGTCTACAGCAAGATGGATCCTCTGTCTCTGGAGAATTTGCTTTCAGAAGTAAGGAACCAAATGTAGTTTAACTTAAAAAGTTATGGCCTATTCATTTATCTTCTCAGAATACTGTAGTTCAAGAAATGCAAGCTACATTTCGTTCACATTAGTCAAAGACTAAAGCAGTGTCTTCCTCGATTGTTGTCCAAACTCCCTGGGGTAAAGGGAGCTGAAATAGTGACTCTTCCACAGTCGGGAAGCCTCTGTTTAAGGCAAGATGAACGAAGCTCCTGAGCTCAGGTTTTCCCCTAAAGACGTTCTTTCTGTTGGGTTGGGTTGGACTATAAGAGGGGGAAAATACAGAGGCTATCTTTTTATACTCTATGTGGAGAAATATAAAAAGACTTGTGGTTTTTTTGGGTTTTTTTAAGATGAGAGATGGCTTAAAGGAATCAAGAATTCAAAGAAGAGACAGCAAACTTTTTCCTATAAAGAGCTAAACAGGAATATTTTCTCCTTAGGGTTCATTTAGTCTCTGTGGCAGCTACTCAGCAATGGCATTGTAGTACGATAACAGCAGTAGACAAGGCCTAAGTGATGGATGTGTCTGTGTCCCCAGAAAACCTTATTCACAAAAATTGGTGACCTCCCGAAAGTCAGTATTGGCCAGCTCCAAGATTAGAGAGTCTGGCATTAATTGTTCATCTTAACTTGGGAAAATATTTGGTGGTGCGGGGGAATTACATGGCAATGAAGAACAATAAGCAAAATCAGACAGAAATAATTACTGGTTAAGCAACTCGGTAGTGCCTCCTAGTGGCCATGGAAGGGCATGCATAGTCGTGGAGAAAAGTCTTGTATGTTTGACTTTAAAAAAAATGAGTTTACCTGCTGAATCCTTTGCTATGTGTCCCTTTATAGAGTAGATGGGATTTACTGTCATTTTCACAACCAGCTGTAGTTCCAAAATAATGATGCCTAAGACAGATTTGTTGGGAGGGTGCAAGAAGGATGTCTTTATACAGATAAGAAGCCTTCGTGGCACCATGGGATTACCATTGGACTGCTAACCACAATGTCAGCACACCTACCAGCCACTCTGGGGCAGAAAGAGGAGGTTGTCTGCCCCTGTAAAGGCTTACAGTCTCAGCTGCCCTACACAGGGCTCTATGACTTAGAGTCGACACAGTGCCAGTGGGATATCCTTGCAGGTAGTCCCCAACTTATGATGTATTCAAGATACTATGAAGTGTATTTATGACTATTAGTTAGGTTATGTTTTCTGTACATCTTATCATACAATGTTATGTCTATACATTTATATGTAATGTTTCCAAACCCCAAAGACAAAGATCTGATTTCTAAAAATACTGATAATAAAAGATATTAATAATGAAAACTTTAAAAAGGTAGATGTTCGACTTACCTCAGAACCAACTTCTGGCAGAGTCATGAGAAAGGAGCCCATCCTTGAGTATTTATTTCCATCTCAGTAAGGGAAGAAACCAAGCTTTGCTGATACTTAAACACAGATTAACACTGGCATCTTGGTGCCGTCCACCTGTAGATGGTCACGTGCCACACTGTGCCTGACCCACAGTACGAGAAAGGGGCCCAGCAGTAGCCCTCTCTTGTCCCTTTCCCCAGGCAGATAAAGGTAGTCTAAAGTCGTGTGGTTTGTGTGAGCAAGATGACTGTAATGGGGTTAGTTTTCTTTAAAAAAAAATAATAACTTGAGATAGTCTAGAATGACCATGAAAATCTTTTGTACCATTCAGATTATCAATGATTGTCTCATGGTACAGTAAAGTATCTGTAAATATAATTTTAAAATAAGAATACATATATTGAGGAAGAAGCTCAAACATTTCTACTGTTAATGTGTCTATAAGGGAGATTGGAGAAGTACCCTTTGACAATTCTTTCAGAAGAATTACAAAACTTGGGATTTTCCAGCAACTAGAACAAGGGAAACAACACAAACCCTCCAACAACAGAAGAAAAGAAACCATAAAGATTAGAGTGGAAATAGACAAATTGGAAAACAGAAAAACGGTGGAAAAAAATCAAGAAGACAAGAAGTTAGTTTTTTGAAAGGAGTAGCAAAATTGACAAACTGCTGGCAAGCTAACAGGAAGTGAGAGAGAGGATGCAGATATCCAGAACGAGAGGAAAAGTGACATCACGGATGCAATGAAATCAAGAGTAGTGACACGGTGCTGTGAAAGATTGTACTCCAACAAGTGTGAGAACCTAGAAGAAATGGACAGATACCAAGAAATACACCATCTTCCCACATTAATGCAGGTCATCAAGAAACATCCAACTGAGAAAAGCCCAGGACCAGCTGGCTTCACAGGGATTCAGAAAGTCATCTGCTTTACTCTGCTGAAAGTGACACAGTCAAGAGGAGTGGCATCACATTCGTCATCACAGGACGGTTTAAGATCTTGAAGTGAAATGATGTCTGTAATAGGATTATATCTATCCACATTCAGGGAAATCCAATCGACACAACTATTACTCAGATTTATGCACCAACGACTAAACCTCATGCTGAATAAATTGAATTCTACCATCTTCAGTCTGAAATTGATCAAACATGCAATCAAGATGCATTGATAATTATTGGCAATTGGAATGTAAAAGTTGGAAACAGGAAGTAACAGTAGTTGGAAAATATGGCCTTGGTGATAGAAATGAAGCTGGAGATTGCATGATAGAATTTTGCAAGACCAACTGCTTGTTCGTAGCAAATAATCTAATAGCAATTCATTCCCTTGACATGGTCCTACTTGATACTTGCCTTCATGAAGAGATCGCTGGATAAGAGTGCTATGCCAAAAGTGTGGTGAAAAAAATCAGATGGTGCCCAGCTGTCAGAAAGAATACCATCTGGGATTTTAAAGGCTTGTCTTAAAACAGTGGTTCTCAACTTTCCTGATGCCGTGACCGTTTAATACAGTTCCTCATGTTGTGGTGACCCACAACCATAAAATTATTTTCAATGCTACTTCATAACTGTAAGTTTGCTACTGTTATGAATCATAATGTGAATATCAGATATGCAGGATGTATTTGGCGACCCCTGTGAAAGGGTCATTTGACCCCCACAAAGGGGTCGCAACCCACAGGTTGAGAACCACTGTCTTAAAACAACCAGCTCTCTCAGTTAGGTGACAGCTAAATCCACCTTGAAGAATCACACTAGCCTTGTGGAATCCAAGAATTGTAAACCACAATCCAGTACCAAAGGAGAGAACAGGATTAGAGTTTAAATTCTGAGCACTTGGTTTGCAGAGGGCTATGGCTGACCATGAAAGCCCAAAATCCATTTACAAGGTCCCTATGTGAATTAAGTCTTCAATGAGTGCCCTCTGACTATTGCCCAGGGTTGTGAGTGGCCTTGATATTAGAGAGCACATTGGAAAGTAGACTAACGCAGATGTGGTAACACCCTATCATTTGTTCCCCTTTTTGACCTATGTTAAACTTGTTCTACTCTGCTTTCTGTAATCTTTTCAACTGAGGTTTTCAGTATTTTATTATTGTTCATTGGATTTGGGGGGTGGTGCTGGCTGTTTTCTTTGTTTGCTTTGCTGTTTCATTCCTTGTTTTAAAATTCAGGATAGATAAATCTATAAAGACAATAACTGCATTAATAGTTTCTTAGGGTTATGGCAGGGGAGATTGGGAGGAAATAGTGGTTAATAAAAACGAGTATAAGAAAGAAGAACATGTTCTAAAATTTATTATTGGTGATGATTTTACAACTCCCTTTAATGTGTTTAAACTATTGAACTATACAAAAATGAATTAGAAGCCACTTAAAATTCTAAGCATTCAGTTTGCAGAGGGCTATGGCTGACAATGAAAGCCCAAAGTCCATTTAAATAAAACTTAAAAATTGTTAATAATTGAATATAAAACACATACACACAACAAACTAAATCTACCGATTGAATTGACTCCATCTCACAGTGACCCTCTCACTCACATCTCCATCTCACAGAGGACAGAGTAGAACTCCTCGTTAGGGTCTTAAGTGTAAACAGAGCAAACAGCCTCATCTTTTTCCTGAGGAGTGGCTGGTGGGTTTGCACTGCTTACCTTGAAGTTTAGCAGTCCACTGTGTAACCCACTATGCCACCAGGACGTCTACATATCTGTATATATTTGTAAAACGAGAATGAGGGACTATTTCCCAAAATATTGGCAGTGACTTTTATTCTATATTTGTATTTCTTGAATTTTTCTGTTGCTGTTAACTGCCATCAAATCCATTCTGATTCAAAGGGACCATGTACAACAGAACAAAACACTGCCCAGACCTGTAGCATCCTCACAACTGTTCTCTTTGAACCCATTGTCCAACCACTGTGTTAGTCCCTCTTGTCAGGGCCTTCATCTTTTTCACTGAGCTTCTACTTTACCAAACACGCTCTCCTCTTCCAGGACTTGTCTCTCCTGATACACTTGTCCAAAGTGTATGAGATGAAGTCTCGCCGTTCTCACTTCCAAGGAGCACTCTGGCTGTGATAAGCACATATGTCCTTGAGTAGAACTTCATTGATTTGATGTAGTACAGCCTCTGGGTGCCTCATAAGTAACTTCCTTCTTGTAATAAGGGCTGCTAAAGCTAGCCATTGGAGACTATTGCTCCTTCTTAAAAACAGCTCTATTGAGATACAATTTACATAAGGTAACACTCACTCATCTTAAGTATACTAGTCAATGACATTGAGGCAGTAGAGGTTTACAGAGTTGTAAAATTGTCGCCCCAATTGAATTGTGGAATATTTCTATCAACCCAGAAAAATCCCTCAGGCCCACTCGCTGTCAATCTCCATTCTCACTTCTAGCCCCAGTCAAACACTAATCTAGTGTCTCTCTCTCTAGGTTTGCCTTTTCTGGATGCTTCACACAAATGGAATCAAGTACCAAGTAGTCTTTTGTGTCCAACTTCTCTCAGTTGGCATGCGTTTTTGAGGTTGCTTTTGTAATGGCATATATCAGTAGTTCAGTCAACCTTTAGAACAACATATTTACATATTCTGGTATCTGAGGATAAGATGCAGTTTCATGGTATTCTTTTGTTAACACGTCTTCATTTGATAACCAAACAGATTATCTTTTTCATATTCTTCCTAGGATTTGGTGACTTTTGAACACCAGTGGACTACCTTCTTTGCTAATTTCGACACTGAAATTCCTTTCCTCCTGGAACTTTCTGAATCTCAAGCGGGTGAAGTATGTAAAGGAAAGGGGTCTAATCCTATATATTCTATGGATGTACTAGAGAAGAAAGATAATGGACCAAAATAAACATGTACCAGATGATACTACAGCAGTTTTCAGAGATTATCGGTTGTTTTTGTTGTGTTCTATGGTCAGCATCTATTTACTTACATAATTAGAAAACATAGCTATTAGTTAAAATTTGCTTTTGAAATTTTGAACCCTTAAAAAAGATTTTTTTTAATTGACTGAAGTGTATTTAATATACCATTTGGCATTTGGGGCAGCACTTTTGAGTAGTCAGTAAGAACTGTGCTTTCTCTCATAAACATTGAACCCTGCGATGCTGTACCTTGCATGTTAGTGTATAGCCTAGTACTTTGCACAGAAAGTAAGAGTTAGTCCTGGATTTCCTGAGGATTTTCCATCAGTACCCTTAAAGTTTCCTAACTTCATGCTGGTTCCATTTTTTTTTAAAGAAGAGATATGCGTATATCACAATATCTATTGTGTATGTGTGCATATACAAATGTAGGCAACTGATAATTTTTTATGATTGCTTTATAAAGTTGTGATCTTGACATAAACAATGTTGGCTTTTTTTTAGCCGTTCAGAAGTTACTTCAGTCATGGAATGATCTCCAGCCATATAACTGAAAACAGGTAAAGTTCTCAGAGACAGGTGAATGGTACTAGAAAATCGGGGCTAGATCAAGGATTTTAGGGGGAAAGGGGACCTCTAGGTCCAGAAGTCATGAGTCAGGAGAATCTGCAGGTCGGCTTCAGTCAACAGAAACTAAGAAATCCAGGCTCTGTAGGCTTTCTGTTTCAATGCTTTTTCTGCATTTTTGTTTGGATTTTCTATCATTTTATTTCTATTAAATGAACTTTTGAAACATTTAGTGAGCATTAAATCAGAATGTGATACAAGGACAACAAAAAAAGTTATCCTTTTTGTATGAATTGTGATAAGAGTTGCACGAGCCCCCAATAAAATGATTTCAAAAAGGAAAAAAAAGTTTTCCTTTTATATTGCCAAGCATATGCAACCCATTTATATATATTCTCAAGATGAACAATAGCTAGTCCTCCAGAAAGAGGACTTGACAGCACCATTTGCCCTACATAATTCATCTATATCAGCGGGGCTCAGCCTATGGGTTGCAACCCCTTTGGGGTCGAATGACCCTTTCACAGGGGTCACAGTAGCAAAATTACAGTTATGAAGTAGCAACAAAAATAATTTTATGGTTGGGGGGTCACCACATGAGGAACTGTATTAAAGGGTCACAGCATTAGGAAGGTTGAAAGCCACTGGTTTAGATTCATTTGATAATTAGGATAGCTTTTTTTAAAAAAAAAAAAAACACATTTTATTAGGGGCTCATACAACTGTTATGCAATCTATACACACATCAATTGTGTAAAGCGCATTTGTACATCATTCTCAAAACATTTTCTCTCCACTTAAACCCCCGGCATTAGATCCTCATTTTTACCCTCCCTCCCCACTCTCCCCTCCCTCATGAGCCCTTGATAGTTTATAAATTGTTATTTTGTCATATCTTGCCCTGTCCGACGTCTCCCTTCACCCACTTTTCTGTTGTCCGTCCCCCAGGGAGGAGGTCACATATAATTCCTTGTAATCGGTTCCCTCTTTCCTACCCACTCTCCCTCTACCCTCCCTGTTTTGCCACTCACACCACTGGACCTATAGGGCTCATCCGCCCTGGATTCCCTGGATTTCCAGTTCCTTTCTGTACTAGTGTACATCCTCTGGTCTAGCCAGACTTGCAAGGTCGAATTCGAGTCATGGTAGTGGGAGCGGGGAGGAAACATTTAGGAACTAGAGGAAAATTGTATTTCTCATCGTTGTTACATCGCACCCTGACTGGCTCATCTTATCCCCGAGACCCCTCTGCAAGGGGATCTCCAGTGGCCTACTAATGGGCTTTGGGTCTCCGCTCCGCACTCCCCCATCATTCAATATGGTAAGATTTTTTGTTCTGATGATGCCTTATACCTGATCCCTTCGATACCTCGTGGTTGCATAGGCTGGTGTGCTTCTTCCATGTGGGCTTTGTTGCTTCTGAGCTTGATGGCCCTTGATTACCTTCAAGCCTTTAAGACCCCAGACACTATACTTTTTGATAGCCGGGCACCATCAGCTTTCTTCGCCACATTTGCTTATGCACCATTTGTCTTCAGTGATCCGCTCGACACCTCGTGATAGGATAGCTTTTTGCTCATTTCTTTTTCTGAAGGAAGAAAAGTGTTAAAGCAGCAGCCAGATCTGGTAGGAAGTTCCACAGTGGACTGCCTGTGTTACAACAGCAGGCAAACATCTTAGATATAGGGAGTGAGAGAGCGGGGCAATTCAAGGAGACCTTGCAGGCCTGAACTGGTCTTAGGATGAATAGGGATTCCATTTATGGAGAAGAAATAGGGATAGGGAGTAGATCATAAGACACGAGTGGGAATGAGTAGATACTGGAGATAAAACTATATTCAGAGGCCAAGTAGAAGGGGAGACGGAGAGGTGACAACTCTTGGGATGAGGAATGTCATTGCATTGGTTACATGCTACATAAAAGTCATTTGGTAATATTTGCAAGAGCTCTTTGAATAAAATCACTGAGGGCATAGATCAGAATGGATTCAAGAGTGAGCAGAAAGTGGAAGAGGGGGAAAAAATGGAATAAAAAAGTCTAGCCAAGACGGAAGGGAGGAGGAGCTAGAGACAGGTATAAGGTCAGGTAGGTGTGTTGGTGAATACATTTTCAACCACCTCTCTTCCTTTCCTCCTGAAAGTTATTAAAGAATTGATACCTACTCTATAATTGGAGTACCACAACTAGTCTCATTCTTTAATATATATAAATACTATTTTATAAAATTTTATTTTTGCTCATTACTGCCAAATGAACTACAGATGTGTAGAACTTACTCCGTAAGTAGTAGGACCAGCCAAAAATATTATCCTGAGTTGGGTTTGTTTATTCCCTGGTGGTCAGTAGCGGGTGTCAGAGACAGCTGGCACTCCTACCCAGCCAGCCAAGAGTGTTAGATGTGGACTGTACGGCTCACTTTCCTCATACTCCAGGATACCACCCATGAAAGTCCAAGGATTTACTCAGAACATGTGAACTTGCCTCCCTGGCCTAGAGTTACTTTTCTAATCACATGTTTTTCACTTACTACTCCAGCCCTAATAGACAGCCATTTGTTCTCTTTGGTAATCACTCCACACGAGAAAACCTGAATGCTGGCAACTTTAACTTCCCTTCCGAAGGACACCTGATCCGCAGCACTGGCCCTGGTGGGAGCTTTGCCAAACACATGGTGAGTCCCTTGACTACTCAGTGCATAATTAGATTTATCATCAAATTGTGGTTGGGGGGCGCGAGGGGGTTCTCCAGTTAGTATGTTGATTCAGACCTGAACTTGAAATTGTTTAGGAGTGAAAAGAAATGATTGGAAACTTATTGCATGTATTTTTGCCTTGATCCTAGGTATAATTTGAAAATATATTCAACTTTGAAGTGTTTGAAGGAGAAAAAACCTTTTGCAACCCAAACTCTAGGTTGTCAGAGTAGTAGAATAAGAATTTTAAGTTAATTTGAAAACACACAACCACTACAAATCTAAGTTTGTCATGTCTTGACTTCATACTTAAGGATTAATCATCTTTTATTTAAAGTGCCAGTGAGGATATTTTTATACTGGATGGTATTGTCAGCAACATTCTTTAAAAGAAACCAGTAGACTGGGATATGGGTCTGTAATAATTATAAAACTCAGTGCTATCTTAATGAGATTTTAAGTTTTACAGAATGTCCTGTGACAATCATTATTTTTAATTTGAATTTGGAAAACGTGACCCAAGAGAATATAGTATAATTTCTCTGGACTGAGACCCCAGATCTGCCACCACTTTAGCCTAGGAGATGGGACTACAGAAGAGGGGTGCTGTCAAAATCTTGCTGCCCTGGAGATGGAGGGTTTGAACCCCATGTTAACCCCCAGAGCACTCTGTGAATCCATGTTGTTGTTGCTAGGTGCCACTGAATCGGTTCGGAGCGATAGCTACCTTCTGCACAGCAGAAGGAAACACTGCCCAGTCCTGAGCCACCCTCACAGTCGTTCCCGTGCTTGAGCCATGGTCGCAGCCACTGCGTCCCTCCATCTCCTCAAGGGCCTTCCGCTTTTTTGCTGCCCCTCCACTTTACCAAACATGATGTCCTTCTCCAGGGATTGTTCTCTCGACAATATGACCAAAGTCTCTAAGACAAAGTCTTGCTATCCTTGCCTCTAAGGAGCATGCTGGCTATACTTCTTCTAAGATTGGAATACACAGAAAATGCCAAATGGCATAGGCCTTTTTACATAATCTTAATTGCTGACTATGTACATAATAAATCAAAACTAAAGAACACTACTTCTTTTCACAGTGGGGCATTTCAGTCTTAGGCTTTTGAAAGTATTTCAGTTTCCTTAGCCCGCTGGCAGTGTGTTTAAGATAAAGTGCAGTTTGCTTAGTGGGAGCTCCAAGTTGAATCCTTCTGGTATTTTCTATGAGGAATGTTGTGTACCTCAAAAGGACAGAGTTTAAAGCCCTGGCTGTCTATAGTACACAGCCTAGGCCTTCAGGGGTTGAATACAAGCTAGGTCAAAAGTGTTTAATTGAAAATGGAGCTCATTTTCACCTTGGTCCATATACTTAAAGTTGAGCGTTTCTCCTAATGGCATGCCGCCCAGCCGATTGACCCGTCAGGCTGAAGTGAAGTCATCAAGGACTGCCACAACCTGTTCCCTTGAATCAGTTGGTGGGTTGGAACCAAAACTGTTAGCAACGCAGTGCTTTAAACACTGTGCCACCAGGGCTCCTAAAAGCATCATACCAAGACCACGATCACTGCCATCAAGTTGATTCCGATTCATAGCAACCCTTCAGGACAGTCTAACTGCCTCTGTGGGTTTCCGAGACTGCCGCTTTTTATGGGAGCAGAAAGCCTTGTCTTATAGTATTATAGAAGAAATTAGTGAAGGTGGGGTCAAATCTTTTATCTTTCCTGTTCTTAATTATCTAAAAGATAACAGTTCAAAGTAATAAATAGTAACACTTCATCAGATCTGATAGCATAAGTGAAATGATTGACAGCAATGTCAGAAAGGGAGAGAATGAGGAAATGGAGGTACTCTGTTCCAGGCGACTCTGTGCTTGACACTAAAAGGTGCAGTACAATTTGAAGATGAATTTAGAGTCATCATAAATATATAAAACGAACTCTAGGGAAACCACATAAAATTGTCCAGGTTTCAGTTGAAAAAAGCACCTGACATCTCAAACTCTCTGAAAAAGACAGGTACCAGATGACAACACTGACATGACACAGGTGTTCAAATTATCGGACAAGGATTTTAAAGCAGCCCTCATAAAAATGTTTTCATGAGCAACTACATATACCCTGTGGTAGTTACATGATCTGTTGTCAATTTGAGGATTAAGAGGGAAGAGGTGGAGTGTAGCCTATCAGTCAGGTCACAGCTTGATGAGTTCATTTGGAGGCATTAAGGAGATAAATAGCCATTTGAGGTGAGACACAGGCTCATTCCCTGGGAGACATTGCAGCTGACCAGACACATGGATCTACACTAGTGCCCTGAGCTGGAGGAGCCAGGTAGAGACCCCTGCCAGAGCTGAGATACTTATACTACCACTGATCCACAAAACTTTCCACCCACTGGCCTATGATCTTCCTGCATTCGGTGTCATTGCATGTGTTTCATGATACTGAAGAGGACTTTATAGATTGATATCAGACATATGGGCTAATATCGAACTTATGGACTTGATCTGGACTGAGCTGGGATGTTTTCTCAATATTCAATTGCTCTTGTATATAAAGCCCTTTCATATACACATATGCGTGTCTATGAATTTGTTTCTCTAGTCTACCCAGACTAACACATACCCTTTGAAATAAAGGAAGAAAAAATGTCTCAGCAACGAAATAGAAGACATAAAAAGAACCAATAGAAATTTCAAAACTGAAAAATTGAATAACTGATATAAAAATTGAATAGGCTCAACTGCAAAATGGAGAGGTCAAATGGGGAGAAATGAACTTAAGGATAAGAAAAATAGAAATGATCCAACAATAGAAAATAGACAAAAGGAATAGTGCTTTAGCCCTGGTGGTGTAGTGATTATACACCTTGTGCTGCTAACCATAATGTCAGTGGTTGAAACCACCAGCCGTTCTGCAAGAGAAACATGGGGCTTTCTGTTCCTGCAAAGAGTTAGAGTCTCAGAAACACACCGGGGTAGTTGTACCCTGTCCAACAGGGTCACTGTGGTTGGCATTGACTCAATGGCAGTGAGTGAGTGAGTGAGTTATGACAAAAGAAAGTTAGGCATCTGAATCCTAAAGGAGAGGAAAAGGAGCTGGTAAATTATTAAACATAATCACTTAAAGTTTGCCAATTTGTCCAAAGATGTGAACTTAAAGCTTCAAAAAGCTGAGTGAGCCCCAGACATGATAAACCCAAAGATGTGCACACGAAGACACATAGGGTCAGACTTCTGAAAAGAATGAAGGAAGAATTTTGAGAACAGCCAGAGAAGAAGCGCTTTTCTTTAAAACATATTAAATTATGTTTAGTTACGCATAGTTGCTCTACAGAAGAGAGTAGACCTGCCTCCGTGGGTTTCCAAGGCTATAAATCTTTTTTTTTTTTAATCATTTTATTGGGGCGTATACAACTCTTATCACAATCCATACATACATCCATTGTGTCAAGCACATTTGTACATTTGTTGCCATCATAATTCTCAAAGCATTTGCTTTCTACGTGAGCCCTTTGTATTAGCTCCTCATTTTTCCCCTTCCCTCCCCGCTTCCCTCTCCCTCATGAACCCTTGATAATTTATAAATTGTTATTATTTTGTCATATCTTACACATCCAACATCTCCCTTCACCCACTTTTCTGTTGTCCATCCCCCAGGGAGGAGGCTATATGTAGACCCTTGTAATCGGGTCTCCCTTTCCACCCCACCTTCCCTCCACCCTCCCAGCTATAAATCTTTATGGGAGCAGAAAGACTCATATTTCTCCCTGCAAAGGGCAGTGATTTCGACCTGCTGATCTTGCAGTTTGCAGCCCAACTCATAACCCGCTATACCACCACGGCTCCTGCTGGGAGAAATCATTCAAATGACATTGGATTTCTCATCAGAAATCTTGGAGGCCAGCAGTAAGTGGCCCAGTTTTCAAGTGCTGAAAGAGAAGAACTGTCCACCTAGAATTCTGTACCCAGTGAAATGTCCTTCGGAAATGAAGGGAATAGCAAGGTATTCTCAGATTAACGAAAACAAAAAGACAGCAGACCTTCTCTGGAAGAATGACTAAAAGAAGTTCTCTCTAAATAGGAATTGATAAGGAATCTGAGAACATCAGGAGGAAGGAAGTAGGATAAAACCAATGCACCACTAAACTGTCTATTTCTAAATGGCTTTTTGTTAGGTGAATTTTAGCTCATGAAAAAAATTGCATCCAGATTGTAAATGATATAACCAATTTTTGTTCCTCAATCTGTGTGACTGTAAAACCAGTGGGCTTACAGTCATTAATGTAACAGCCCTAATTGGGTGGGCACTAGGTGCCATTCACTGTGCACGCTACAGGGTGACTCCCTTCAGGAGTTTCACAGACCAGGAGGAGAGACAGTGAGGATAGTGCTCCAAAATGTTAGGAGCAGTAATTTAGATTTTCTTTAATAATTGACAGGTGTTGTTATTGGATCTTTTTTTTATAAACACAGAAATTCAGTGAAGTCAAGATACTTTGAGATGACAAATTTGGTCCTGGGGACTACGGGGTCCTGGATTATGAACTGTCATCTTCACCTCTAGTCCTAAGTATCATCCCACCCTTTCCATTTCTGTGCCATTTGTGACTAAGTTACATATGAATAGGTGTCTTGTTAGGAGTCCTGGTGGTGTAATGGTTTCATGTTGGGCTATTAACTGCAAGGTTAGCTGTTTGAAACCACCAGCCACTCCTTGGGAGAAAGGTGAGGCTTTCTACTATAAAGAGTTATCATTTCGGTAACCCACAGGGGCAGTTCTGAAAGAACTCAAGAAAAAAATTGAAGCCTCGGCTTGCATTATTGAAAGATTTTATGGGCAAAATGTTGAATGATGCAGGAAGTATCAAAAGAAGGTGGAAATAATGCACAGAGCCATTGTACCAAGAAGAACTAGTAGACAGTCAAACATGTCAGGTTCTAACATGAGCAAGACCCAATGGTGCTGAAGGAAGAAGTGCAAGCTTCACTGAAACCAAGATTCCAGGAGTCAATGGCATACCCATTGAAATGTTTCAGCAAGCTGATAAAGCGCTGGAAGTACTCATCTATGCCAGGAAATTTGGAAGACAGCTACTTGGCCAACTGACTGGAAAAGATCCAAATTTGTACCCAATGTCAAAGAAAGGTGACCCAACAGAATGCTCAAACTATTGAGCAATATCATTATCACATTCAAGTAAAGTTTTGCTGAAAACCATCCAAAGGTTGCAGTAGTACATTGACAGGGGGATGCCAGTGGTTAAGGCCGGATTGAGAATGGTGTGGAACAGGGATATCATTGCTGATGTCAGATGGATCTTGACTCAAAGCCGAGAACACCAGAACCGTGTTTACTTGTGTTTTCTTGACAATGCGAAGGCGTGTGAATAAGTGGATCATGACAAACTATGAGTAACCCTGAGAAGAATGGGAATTCCAGAACCCGTGATTGTGCTCCTGTGGACCTTGTACATGACTCAAGAGGCAGTTGTGCAAACAGAACAGGGAAATACTGCATGGATCAAAATCAGGGAAGGTGTGTTTCAGGGTTGTATCCTCTCACCATCCTTATTCAATCTGGATGCTGAGCAAATAATCAGAGAAACTGGAATATATGGGGGGAAATGTACATCAGGATTAGAGGAGGGCTTATTAATAATCTTGGATATGCAGATGACACACCCTTGCTTGCTAAAAATGAGGAGGACTTGAAGCGCTGATGACAGCATTTTGTCTTGCTTGGATCCACAATCCATGCTCATGGAAGCAGCAGTCAAGAGATCCAATGACACATTGTATTGGGTCAATCTGCTGCACAAGACCTCTTAAAAAGCAGTGATGTTACTTAGAGAACTAAGGTGTGTCTGACCGAAGCCATGGTATTTTCAGTTGCCTCATATACATGTGAAAGTTGGATATTAATAAGGAATACTGAAGATGAATTAGTGATTTGAATCATGATGATGGCAAAGAATATTGAAAGTACTATGAGCCACCAAGAGTCAACAAACAAACCTCTTTTGGAAAAAGTACAACCAGAATGCTCCTTAGAGGGAAGGGTGGCTAGACTTCATCTCACATCATTTGGACATGTGGTCAGGAGAGGTGGTCCCTGTGGAAGGACATTATCCTGGCCAGCAAAAAAAAAGAGGAAAGTCCTCAACAAGGTGGAATGGCACAGTGGCTGCAACAATGGGTTCAAACATGAGAATTGTGAGGGTGACGCAGGACCCGGCAGTAGTTCCTTCTGTCGTACCTGGGGTTGCCATGATTCAGAACCGACTCAACCTGACAGCATCCTAGCAGCTCTCATGAGAAGATGCTAGATTTTCAAAATAGAACGGCATCTGTCCCCCCCTCTGTGTAAATGAACAAGTAAAGGAGATAAAGAGCACCTTTTCCTCTACAAGGTGTGGTGTACAGCAGTGAGATACAGGTGAGAGCATGCGGCCCACCATTCTCTCCTGCATGGGTGTACCGAATACTCACTGCCACTTCACCCAAGAATTCAAAACCCCAATACGTTTCCTCTCCTTTGGCTTCTAAGTTGTGAACTGACCAGTAACCTGATCTAACTGAGTAGCCAACAGCAGCCACAGAAAATAGCCACAGTTCTAAATACACAGCGGCATACATTGATGTTGGGAGGGAAGTAGAAGACCCTACCTCCACCCGGTGCCTTTAAAACATAAGTCCACCATTGATAAATGAGATTGGTCTCCATTAACTGTATACTCTTTGTATCTAAAGCAGTAAATTATACTTTAGAAAACCCCAGTTTGTGTATGTGTGTGTGTTGTTGTTGTTGTTGTTGTTTTGACTTCCAGGTGGCACAGTGTGTCTCACCAAAGGGACCCCTTGCTTGCTCGAGGACATACTTTTTTGGAGCTACTCACGTTCCGTACTTGGGTAAGTCATTCCTCCCATATCATAGGTTCTCCATAGATTAGGAGTTGACTCATCATTACTGCTTAGCTCAGACAAACAAAATGTGCTTAACCTGTGTCTCACAGACTTCGTTTAGGAGAAAAAGCCAGTAAGTTCAATATGTACTCTATCTAGCTGTATATAAGATCCTGTGCTCAGTATGATAAAGGCCAAGATAAATTAAGAGACCTACTTTGTGACGCCATGTGGCAGTCTGACTATTCTTGTCTAGAAAAGGGTACCAGGAACTATGAGCATTCACAGAAGCAAGGGCTCTGTCCTGTGGACCATCCAGAAAGGCTGGGCTGATTGGGACTCCCAACCTGCTCAGTGACTGGAGCTGCATTCACAGAGCAACATGGAGAACCTCTAGAGTACATGAGGATCCCAGCCTAGCTGCATAGTACACCCGAAACCTGGTTTTTCTCCTGGGTGCTCTGTAAGTGAGAAAACGCTAGAAGTGTGATTTGGGTGGGGGCGTTGAGGAGATGAAGTGCAGGTGGAGGTGAGCACCTGGGGAGCACAGTCCTTTCCTGCATGGAAGAGCCCAGCACATCCACCTGCCTTTGCACCAAAGCTCTGGGCTGAATGGCAATGGAATTCAAAAGCTGCTAACTTTCATCTCCTAGTTTTAAAAACAAAAACTGAAGGCAAAACCCCTCTCTGGTGTTTCATAGTAACATTGGGTGGGTGGGTGGGTGGTCAAAGAGGAAAGTCCGACTAAAAGGTAAAGATCAGGAGGATCCCAGGACAGGTGATGTTTCAGTGTTGTTTGTGCTTGTACTGCATTAAAAAAAAAAAGCTTGTGATATCTCCTTGTAATGAAATGAAGAACTCCTAGCTTGCTTGTGAAATGTTTGCCTATCCTGTGATCTTGTCACATTCTTAATCCACAATATTCTGTCACAGGTGATGACAACAAGCTACCCAAGAAAACTGAGCCAATGTAAGTCTTCATTTCTCTTTTATTTTTTCTTGCCTACAGTTGATCGTCCACCGTGGTGGCTGTCCTTGTCTCTTGTGAGCTGTACAGTAGTTAGGACCCCTGGTTTATGAGGTCCATAAACCGCTCTGGTGTTTCATAGTAACATTGGGTGGGTGGGTGGTCAGAGAGGAAAATGTCAGACAAAAAGGTAAAAATCAGGAGGATCCCAGGACCGGTGATGTTTCAGTGTTGTTTGTTCTTGTACTGTATTTATTTAAAAAAAAAAAAAAGAAAGCTTGTGATATCTCCTTGTAATGAAATTAAGGAATCCCAGGTTCCTCGTGAAATGTTTGCCTGTCCTGTGACCTTGTCACAGTCTTAATCCACAATACTCGGTGTACCGTTTACGAGGTACACAGAGCTGTATCACTTCCCAGCAGATGCCCAATGGCTGTCTCTACACTTAGAGGCCAGGTCAGGGGACCCTGCCAGCTTTGCCATCTGCTCCTCCCTACATGACTTGCTACCTGCAGCATCTATACATACCCATTATGTAATTATTCTTCATGCTTTCTACAGTGTGTTTCTGTGTTGTTTTAATTGAAGACTTTCCTTAAAAAGACAACATCCTGAAACTCATTGAGACAATCTGTGAAACCCCATCTGGTCTCTGGAGTATAGTCTCTGGATTTGACATCCAGGCTTCAGGAGCAGAACTGGGGGCAGAACCCAGGTTGTGCACTCATAGAAAGGCCTAGTGTTTATAAGGGCAACGTTGTGCAACTTCTTAAATATAACCAGACCCTTGAAGGAATGAGGAACGGGTTCTGGGAACTCAAAGCCATATTCTCGGCACACCAAGGCTGGTTGACATAACATAGTTCACAAAGGCAATGCTCAGCATCCTGTTTGGTGAGTTGAGACTGGGGCAGCCATCGAAGGTGCAGTTATTGGCGAGTGGTCATCTAGGTGCATCCTATGGTTTCTTCTTGTCCAAAGGAGGGATGAAAACTGAATGGCTCATGGAAGCAATTTGTCCGATGGACTAATGGACCATGCAACATCCGTCTCCACAACCCTGAGAGCAGAAGAACCAGATAGCGCCTGGCGACTACTCCCATTTGCCCTGAAAAGGATCCCATTATAAGGTCTTACCTAATGTGGGGTGAAAATATGAAACAGAATTCAAAATCAGAAGTGAGACCAGGCTTACTGGGCAGAAAAAAACTAGAGGAATGCCCCATGACTAAGTCCTTTTGTCATCCTTCAGATCTGGAAATAGACTCACCCCTGTGGCTCAGTTTACAGACATGTGGTAGAGGGCCCTGTAAGGGGAACAACACCACTAGGATGTACACACTCCTTAGAATAACCAACAGTGTGGGAGCAAATTGTTTTTATCATCTACCCAAGGACAAAATTCAGGAAAGCAAGAATTCATCAAGAAGGAGGGATGGAAACTGGAAACACAGGGCGGAAGTGGGACTAGTGATGTTACAATGTGAAGATGGCCATCAGGACGTGAAGCAAAATGTGTCTGTGTTGGTGAATGGGAAACTGATTTGCTCTATAAAGTTTCACCCAATTCACAGCAAAAAGCTTTTTAAAAAATAAAAATAAAAGAAAGTTTCTCTACCTTTCTTTCCCTTTCTTTACAGGAAACCAATGACACAAAATCAATTCCTCACTCATGCTAAAGCTACTGAATCCCAAAACAGATTCCCCTTCAGAAATGGGAATAATACTGCAGCTTCATTATTGCTTCGCTGCATATCCTGGTATAAGAGAGTAGGCCTTCTAAGGACCAGCACTGATGAGCTGTAGAGGATCCACAAATAGTAAAAGCTATAGGTTGCCCGGCTCAATTAGAGCTACAGAATCCAACATTTCTGGAGGTAGGACCCATAAAAATCATATGAATAAAAAAAGTACCCAAGTAATATAATCACACTCCAGAAAAAGTTCTTTTTTAAAAAAAGGAAAACAACATTAGCTGTTAAGCCTGCTTTTGGGCACTGCCGTTGTTATCTTCATCATGTCGTCCCCTATACGTAGCTATAGTCATAACGTGTGTAGTTTCTTTGAGGGTGTTCTTCAGTTCAACACCAGATCAGCCCTTTCCTCTTGTGTTGGTGGGGGCAGTCCCGCTTTGTACTGTTGTACTTCTCGAGCCAGATGCTCAGCTACTTCTTAAGAGCTCCTTTTAAGACCCTAGCCATTGTCCCTTATCTCTTTTGAGTTAAGACTTCCTGAGTCCTGCCGGACACCTCCACCTGCCTGTTAGAGGCTCAGGGATGAGCCCCTTTGGTGATCTGCTTCAGGGCCTGGTCTGGAAGAGTAGCAGAGCCCACTTCAGGACACCTGACAGATCCAGACTGGTGGGCCTTGGGCCTTGTGGAGTCTAGTGAGGGCGACAGCAACACCCTCCAGGCAGAGAGCAGCTCTCCCAGCCTCCTTGTCAGAGGCCTTAGTCCAGACCACTGCATGTGACAGTAGCCAGGTAGCTTATGGGTTCAGTTCAGAGGGTCTGTGTAAGTCAGAGAAGATAGAGCAGGAGGGGCAGGGGACACTTGACTGGTATTAGAACTTTGGGAAGTTTTCATCAAACTGGAGATTCGCTTCACATGTGTTTGGGGTTGGCCTCTAATAAAACTTCAGCGATAGTGGCAAAATCTGAAGGATCCTGGCACCTGAAAGTGGCCAAGGCCTTGTCAGTGACCCTTCCAGGTTCCTTCCACCAGAGTAATAGCCCTCTGCCCTGGTCATTCATCTCTGGGATATGTTGCACATCCTTGGAACTGGCTTTTTAGTATAAGTGCCTTCTGCCCCTTTGTCCTCCTCCCCAGTTCAAATCTCTTACATCGCATGTGGCAGTAAGAAAGCGCCAGGCTGAGAGCACTCCTGAGTCTGGGCCTGCCATTAATTTGCTGTCTCCTTGGACAACCATAGCCCATCTCCATAGGCCTTCATTGCTATGGGACCGGATCACTTCTGTTTCCTTCTAGCCGTCCAACTCCTGTCACCTTCTGTTAGCTGTTACAAGATTCTCACAGGTGTAAAAATAGACATCTTATTAGGAAAGGCTTAATCAGTTCTCTCAGATACCTCTCCTTCCCTGAAGGTCCTCAGCTCAAAGCAGTTTTAGTCCCCATCCCCCCAGGAGACATTTGCCAATGTACATTTAAAGACATTTTGGGTTGTCACAACTTGGGGGTCCTAATAGTATCTATTGGGTAGGGGCCCGAGATGCCATCAAACATCTAACAGTGCTTAGGGCATCCCCTCCCACGACCCCCAACAAAGAATTATCTGGCCCAAAATACTGCTGAGGTTGAAAATCCCTGGCCTAAAGAAAAGAAGCCTTGGATTTTCTGAGAACCTTTCTGGCGATCCTCAATCCCAGTTCTAGCAAAACAAAAACGAAAAAACAAACAAGCCTCTTACTATGGGAAGTAAGACGTCAGAGAGCAAAGTTTGGCCAAGAAGCAAGTAAAAAATCTCAGAAGCATCCTCCGTTCTTCGTCAGGCAAGCTGCTTGGGGTGTGCTCTGCAGCTGTTTAATTGGAATTGACATGGCCCTGCCCTCTCCTCAGTTGGGGAATCTCTCGCCCCCGAGGTCCTGGGAGCCAGCCTGCAGCAGGCTGGTGAGAGGATGGCATGAAGCTATGGTGCACAAGGGGATCAAGACACCCACATAGTTTTCTCCTGTTGGTTTAGTCTGTTGGTCATCAGAGGAGCTGGTTTTCCTGAGGATGGATTAATGAGAACAAATTACGAACCAGTTTGGGCACATGGCTTTTTAAAGTTTTAGAAACCAGTGATTTCCATTTTCACATTTTATGTTTGTTTGTTTTTCGTTTTGTTTAGAATTCAGTTCTTGGGTGAGTGATTATTTTTTGTGCTTGCAGCTTTCAATGGAACGCTGTGAGGCTGTGGCTAACCTTTCCGTTTTCTTTTTAAAGTAGGCTCTTATCCCAGATCTATGCTGCTGTTGTTGAGGCTGTGCTGGCTGGCATTGCATGCTATGCTCAAACTTCCAGTCTAACAAAGGTAATGTCAGTGCCATGGTTCTTTCCTGAGTGGTTATGCTAACGTGAAACTTCCTGCCCCTCTGGTTGTTCTCGGTGCGGCCCGTGTGAAATTGGGCCTTGACGGAGCTGGCACGAGGCAGCAATGCCTTCAGAATGTTGAGCTTCCGCCGCCTATGACTGCTGCTGTTTTCTGAGGGACAGCTAACCAGCACTGCTTGTGGACCTTGGGGTGTATTAACAACAAGTTGTTCCATGACGTACGAGGGGGCTTCGAAAAGTTCATAGGAAAAATGTCATTGTCTTTTTTATTTTTCCACACACTTTTGGAAGCCCTCTCCTATTATTCTGTTTAATTGTTTTAATGAGTCTTTTAAAAGTATAAAGACTTTTAAAATACAGAATATTCTGCTGAGAACTTAGAATAAAGCTAGGTAAGTTTGTTTGAGCTATGTAATTTAAGATCCTCTAAGTCGGTGTTAGGACAGAAACAAAAAGAGCGTGAAGAACAGAAACTGTGACTTGCCTCTCCCAGACACTCCTGTGTGATCTCATTCTCTGACCGTTCTCTTCCTGGCTGCTTGGCGGTTAGCCTGCCCTGCTGAGTTGGGTTCCTATATCTGACCCAGTAAGGAGATGCGGAGAGTCGGCCTGATGCCTCCCATTGCCTTTCCTGAAGGAAGCCATTTGACTTTGGAAAGGTTGTGTATGATGTAGATATCCGAGAGACTGTAGCCATAGTCATCAGCTCCTTACCATCCCCCTCCTCACTGAACTTGAATCCCTGGGACTGTCATGGGACTTGCTCTTGAGCTGCCCTGGGACAGAAAGCTTTGCAATGCAATGGGGTGCCCTACAATAATCAGTACGCTTGTGTTTTTAACTGATCTTTTGTCATCTTAGGGGCCCGGTAGTGTAGTGGGTCACACATTGGGCTGCCAAGCAAAAGGTCAGCACCTCGACTCCACGAGGTGATCTGCTGGAGAAAGATGAGGCAATCTGTTCCTCTTAAGTATTAACAGCCTCAGAAACCCTTGGGAGCAGGCCTGCCCTCTCCTGTAGGGTCGCTCTGAGTCAGAATGAACTTGATGGCAGTGAGTTTGGCTTGGCTGGGGCTATGCTTGGCATCCGGCAGAGACTCTGAGGGCAGTGGCCCTCCTCAGGCAGGGGGAGGGGTGGGGGAGTGGAGGAGAAAGCCTGGACCAAAGGCCCCTTCAGCACTTTCCCAGACTCAAGTTCTTTCTGATACGCAGTGTCTCAGGGATCCACTGGCACCAACCCAGCAGGTCCCACCTCTCTCAGGTGGGTCAAGTTCCAGTGCCCACCTATCCAAACGAAGTATTTTTCCTGTGAGCTTGTAACAATACATGTTCATTTTAGTGGTGTTGATGTGTAGGAAGTAGTCACGTAGAGGGGAGGAGCACGTGCTAGAGGGTCGGGGTCTCTCTCTCTCTCTAACTCTCTCCCCAGAAGTGCCGTGCATGCTTTTCTCTGCTGTGAAACCTAATTGCCTCTGTTTGTGTCATTGGTTTTCCAGGCCAAGGAGGTAGCAGAGCAAACCCTGGGATCTGAATTAGATTCCTATGAGTTGATGCAATTTAAGACAGCTCTACGGTAGGCAATGCTTGGTATTTTCTAAAAGGCACTCTTTTTGAAGGTTGGTTTATAAAAACACGCTCACTTTTCTCTTTTGTTTTTATACTTGCTCTCCTCTTTGAGAAATATTCTGGTAAATGAATAGGCTATTTGAAAGAAGACCATTCACCATTAGGGCATTATATGAGAAACCAAGGGGCCAGAGCTAGAAGAACAACATGAGACGCGTCTCCCACATGTTAGGAGGCTAGCTGTGAGGCCAAGGAATAGCAGAACCACGGGGGACTTGTGACTTCAGAGGCCTCAGGGATCAGGGAGGGGAAACTGAAGATGTGAGTGGTGAGGTTTGTTAGGGACAGAGGCTTCTCAGATTGTAGAAACCCGGGACCTGGGAGCGTCTTGGAGTCTAGATAGTCTGGGAATCTGACTTCCTGGCAGGCATGTCACAGTAGGTCTCTGCTCTGTAGCTCAACTTCCACCAACCCAGTTTATTCACCCACTGCATCACCTTAGGACCACTTTGTGCACTTTCATGCAAAGGTACCGATGTTGGGGGTTTCTTTAAGAGCACGTCTAAGATGTGCATTGTGTTTCCTCAGTGCCGTGCCCCACGGTTTCTTAGATCTGCAGCCCTGCACAGTGGGAAGGGACATTTGGAAAGATCAGTCCTTGGCTCTAACAGGGAGAGTTGCATTGCTGCAGCTCCCACAGTGGAGCAAGAGCCCGAACCCTAAAGGGCTTCCAGCTCCGCCATGGGGCGCTTAGGCGAAGTTCCCGTGCCCTCTGCCAACTGAGTCGCACTGCTCTCCTACCCATGATAATCTCCAATAGCCCCTTTGGTGCTGTTCAGCTTACTGCAGGCCTCCTTTCCCCGTGGTCTTCTGGATCATGTTTCTCTGTCCAGGAAAGACCTGCCCTGCCTATGGCTGAGAGCCCTGGGTTTGAGACTGCCCCTTTACTTTCCACCTGTGTGACCTTTAGCAAGTCAGGAAGCTCTCTGTGCATCTGGAAAAGGGGCCTGAGTTCCTTGCAGAGTGGTAGGGAGTTCAGGGTCTGCCACGTCAGTGTCAGCTGCTATTGCAGCAGGGCTCTCCTCTGTGGCCTTGGAAATGGCCAACATCAGCATTCCCTTCCTCCTTTCCCTGGGGTGGTGCCCACTCCACCCTTTAGGGCGGGCAGGCCTCCTCTCAATCCAGGCCCCCTGGCCTAGGCATACCTTCCTCAGCGGAGGAAGGAACACAAAGAAAGGGCCAGACAGTGAGAAGAGAGTCTCTCAGGCTAGTCTCCCTCCCTAGCACCCCACCTTCTTCCCTCCACAAGGGCTACTTCACTAAGTGCACTCAAATGCCATCTGATAGGTAAGAATCATCCTGAGAGGGTGAGAAGGGAGTCGCCTTGAATTTACACAAGTTAGTGGGTGACTGGCCAGGGCTTGTTAAGGTAAGAAATGGAACTTATGAGTGAGTTTTCTGGTTATTGTTCTGTCTGTTGAGTCTTACCACTCTCCCTGGCCATGCCCATCATCCCACTGCAGTTGACTGTGGGTCAAAGAAACTGACCTCAGCTCTCAGGGCAGGAATCACAAATTGACCCAAAAGGGGTGAATCTACAGTGACTATCAGTCCTGTCACACTGTTCCCTCCTGCTGTGGTCTCAAAATTCAAGACTGCCCTGAGAATCTGCACAGAAGTGAGGCCCTGGCTGGAGTCACATGCAGGCCCCACACCTGCCAGTGATGTGAGGCCCCGGGAAAGATAATGAATGCATTTAGGGCTAAATCTGCATAACACGGGGATGGCAGACCTTACTGGGTGGCTGTGAGGGTCTCGAGCAGATTTACTTCAGAAGCAAGTATGTGTAAAGGGTACTAATACAGTAGTCAGCAAGAGCAGGCTGACTTGTTGTTTGTGCTTTGCAGCTCCAAGATGGCTTTTCATATACATGCTGTGAATAATCAGGGAAGGTACGTATATGGCTGTCATTCGCCCTTTTTTGGAGCAAGTTTAGAAACAAAAAGGGGAGAGGCCAGCCTGTAATAGCTGGTGTAGGTGTTTCCATGGTTGGCTACCCATCTGTGCTTACATGGACACCCTCCACCCTGAGGACTTCCTACTGAGGCTCTGAGGACTGGACACAATTCATCCCATACAGCCTACTTATTAATTCTGCATGCATGCAACATATTGTTATGAAATCCCTGCGGGAAAGAAATTTGGGCCATGGTCAAGGTGAAAGAGAACAAAATGAATTTCAGTGCAGTTAATTCTTTAATCGCTCTCCCTTTTTTCTCTTTCTCCTCTAGAATTGTTCGTCTAGACAGTGAAGATAGCTTATACTTTGTGAAGACGGTAAGCAGAGTTGTTACAGGTCAGATAACTGGGAATGACCCGCAGAGGGGCATTTATAGGGGGTGAGGCAGTGGGTGGATGGGCGGTCTTAGACAGTACATCCCTTATCTAAAGAAACTGGTATGTTCTCAGGACCATCCAAGCCAGAGCATTGGTGGACCAGTATTTTCTAAGGGTACCCAGACAGGTGTGACCAGCCCAGCCATATCCACACTCCCATGGCTAGGTGATCTCAGGCCCGAGAGTCTTAACTGAGGTGGGATACTTCTTCCTGAGTTTATGAAGACTTCCTCCCAGTAATGGAAGTTGCTCTGGTATGAAATGGAAATGTGAGCTTCTGAGGTAATAAACTTAACCTCAACACAGACCAGCAAATGGTTGCTATGTGTTCCAAGGCCTTCACTGATGCCCTTACTAGAGGCCTGGAACTCCAGCTATGCGAACTTCCCATGTGCTGAGTGCACGCTGATAGGCCTGGGAAGTGGTTTAGACATGCACCGAGATCCTGGTCTCCTGTCTGCTAGCTTGGCCCAGTGGGAGCAGAGTTTCCAAGCCAGTTCTTTGTTCCCCGCCACAAGCCAAGGCTTTCATTTACCACAGTATACCCTGATTGGCAAACTTTTTAATGAAAGGACAGTGTACATCCAACCAAGGTTCTGGTAGTAATATTAGTGGCCACAAGTTACACCTTGCATCTCTTCTGTGGCCACTGCCTGAATCTTCATTCTAGTGAACTCCTGGTTTGGAGGAGCTGGTGGGCAAGTGTGTGTGGCTCAGTGCAAGGACATCCCACCACCATAACCAGTGGAAGATCAGCTCAAAGTTTCTGTGAGATGCCATCAACAGAGTACACTAGGCAACAAAAGTGACTTCTTAAGGTTATAATTTACATTTTTGGAATAGGTGTGCCCCTTTTTTGGGTGTTCTTTTAGAACCAGGTTAGCCCTTTTTGTAACATCATGACATTGGGAAATGCTTACTGGTCTGTAGGTGGTCACATTACTCTCTCTGCTAGACTTTAAACTCCCGGACTTCCCTCCTTGGGTCTTTGCAGTTCTTTGGAAGGTGCCTTGCAAATCATTAATGGAGTCTAGCTGACTCAAACTGTTTATTTCAGGAATCCATTCAGAGCAGCCAATGAAATCAAAAGGAAGAGATAGGAAGTTGGTACTTCCTGCCCCAATCCTGTTCTTGCTTCCAAGTAGAGATGAAGTGTGCTGGCTCCTCTTTGAAGCCTTCCAATTGGTTTCCCTCCAGTCTGGTTTCGTGCAGTACTTCATGAACTATCTTTTAAGTCTCCTCCTGAAGGCTTAGGGCTGGTAGCTCGTCTGACTCTGCTTTCTCATTTGATACAGGCCTGTATGGCTGTCTACGATATTCCTGACTTGCTGGGAAGAAGAGGGTGCTTAGGATCTGTGGTCTTCTCAGAATCATTTTTGACATCTCAGATCTTAGTTAAAGAAAGGGGTGAGTGGTCTTTGGAAAGCAAAACTTGAACCTCTGGTGGGAAGGAGGGGAGAGGGCAAAGCGAACTATAAACTAAGCCCAAAGAACAGTAGTAAACTGGTGAGTATTAGAACATTCATGATAAAGGATGTAGATCCTAATTTGTAAACAGCTCTTATTAGTTAGAGAAATCCCAGCTACCTGAGGGAGGGTGGAAGACAAGCAGACACACACCACACATACAAACACACAGGAGCTTCAAAAAGTTGGTGGAAATTTTCTGTTATCTTTTCATTTTAGTTTTCCACCAACTTTTTGAAGCCACTTTGTATATGTGCGTTTACATTGATGCTTTGACTAGAAAACAGCCTCACTGATTGTCGCTTCTAATCCATTGTTATCAAGTCGATTCCAACTCATAGCAACCCGATATAGATTTTCCGAGGCTGTCAGTCTTCACGAAAGCAGACAGCCTCATCTTTCTCCCAAAGAGTAGCTGGTGGGTTCGAACTGCTGATCTTACGGGTGTCAGCCCAATGGGTAACCCATTACACCACCAGGCCTCGAAAGGGAGCAACTAAAACCTATAATTAACTAGCTACCATTGTTTCATCTATTATGTTGGCCCCAAAAAGCATATCCAGTGTGGCATGATGCCCCTGATGCTTTGAGTTTCAATAGGTAAGCATGTTCTACTTCCAGAAAAAGTAAAGGCAAAACTTAAAAGAACTAATTCCCACAATTCGTCATTTCGACATATTCTTATTTGTTGTGGAAAATACTTAAGTTCATCAAGTGAGCATGCCATTCTTCATCCTCTCATCCCTGTCCCCAGAAAAGGCAGTTTTCAGCCTTTGAGGGCATCCGACTCCAGCAGATGGAGCAGTGCTGGCTCCTGACAAAGAGGAGGCTGTATCTGGGGCGGCAGGAGGGAGGAGTAATTCACATGTCTGCGGTCTTCCTACAGATGGCACTGTTACCACAGAAACCAGCTCCATTATCCTGACGGAGGCCATCCCCAGATTCTGCTCCTGGATGGTTAGTTTCACTCATCTGAAGAAAGTGACAGAACTGTGAGGGAACCAGAAACTTTTTTGGAAGAGGCTCTCCATTGGGTCCTGGTGGGATGTCAAATCCAGAACTAGCTTTCTCTTGATGCAAACAAATCTAATTTACTGACCACTCTCACGATCTTGGAAAGGCATTTAGGAACTAAGTTATCTGGGTCTCTGTTAAAATGTGAAAGGAAGAAGTGAGCACAGTCATTGTAGAGATGAACAGACTGAGGCTCAGACGTGAACTGCTTGCCCGAGGTCACTCAGAGAGAGAAGGGAAGCATGTGGCCCCCTTCTCTGGACAGAGTGGTGACTGCAGAGTCCTGACTGTAGTGTCCCTACATGAGAAAACATGGCACTGGGTGATTGGGGGCCCAGAAGGCATAAGAGCAGCGGCTCTGTCATGGTCTCAGCCCTTACTCTGGAATCAGTTCCTGTTCCACCTCTGGGGTTCCCATCGGGATAGGAAAGGAGGAGAGTCGTCTCTCTCTTTGGAGCTATCATGAGCCTGTTTAACTAGACCTCAGGTCCCAATGAGAGAGCCACATGACTTTGGCCCCTGGTCCCTGACGACCAGCAGCTGGTTCAACAAGCTGTGCCAAGGCCTGAAGGATGGGGTGGAGTGGTGGAGAGGCTGCTGTGTCAGTGTCCTGGGACGGTGTGACACGGGGAGTAAGCTAGCAAGGCTGTGCCTTTCGTGGAGTAAACTGAGAATCTGCATTCCTTTGGAAACAGGTAGAAGATAATGAAATAAAGTTGTCAGAGAAAACCCAGCAAGCACTGAAGGTAAGCAACCAAGCAACCTTCTTCTCAATGTAATATGTAGAAGGTAAAGGAATCAGAACGGAGAGGCAAACTTTCATCTGACTGCTAATTAAAGGGGGTGTGCCTTTGTGTTCACTTCTTGTTCGCATTCTTCTCATTCCCAGCAAGTTTCAAACAATAACCTTTTTCCAAAATTTTTGGGAGGAAGGTCTAAAATTGGATTCTTTTTGCCTTATAGATCTTATCAGTGTTTTTTTGTTTGTTTTTTAATAACCAACTAATACTTTTTAGCTTTCCTTTAAACACTGTATTTTGGGTGTAAGTTTGCAGAGAAAATGCGTTTCCCATTCAATAATTCATCCATTTTTTGTTTCCTGGCATGGGTGCAGCCCCTCAGTATGACAGCACTCTTCCCACTTCCTCGAGTTTCGAGGTTCTGTTCGTCTTCTCTGTCCCTTCCCGCCTGCTGGACTTTGTTTTTGGATAAATGTTGCTCTTTGAGCCCGTGTAATTAAGCAGTCCCAGGCTGGCCTCAGCAGGTAGTGAGTGATGAGAGGTCGGAACTTCGAGCCAAGGAAAAGCTGCCTCCAGTTTCACAGTCAGAGGAAGTAAAGCAGCAGAACATGGACAGACCCAGTAGCCTTCAGTGCAAGGCCTGGCAGAGAACTTAGTGTTCCCTTTCTCAGCACAAGTCAAGGATGCTAGTAACATGCTCACCAGCCAGGCAACCAGATGATGGGGAAAATAGAGTGGATTTGAGTTTGGATTCGGCAGCCTTTACTGACTGGGCTCAACGTTTGATTCTAGTGAGTGATTGTGCTAATTATCACCTGTCCTTTCTGTCTTGCTTTAAAGGAAGATGAGTGTTTCCTGGGCACTTTCCTAACAGGAGGAGAAGGAGCCTATCTTTACTCCAGCGACCTGCAGTCCTGGCCTGAGGAAGGTACGTGACTCTGGCTTTTCTATTCTTGGATGAGCCCCGGTGCCCCTTCTTGTAGGGAGCAGCATGCGTACTGTGATTAGTAACACGCCTGATACTCGTTGGTGGATAAGTGCTTTCTTGGAGCTCTCCTCCTCGGATCCACCCACTTGGCAGCTGAAGAAACTTCCATTAGGAAGGGCTGGCCCCAGTACCTTGTCCAGTCCCCTTGCTGCTCTTGACGCTGGCTCTGGAATGAGCAAGAGCAACATGGCCAGAAATCCAAGCTGTGGGCCCAGACACAAATCTGAATTGAATTGTTTATTGCTGTATAACAGATTGTTACAATTATAAGAACTTAAAACAACATCATGTATTGTCCAGCTGTTCTGTTGGTCAGTCAGACCGCCAGCCCACTTGAGCATGTTCTCCACGCAGGGCCTCACAGTTTGGAGTGAGGGTGTCAGCCATACTGGATTCTTACCTGGAGGTCTGGAGAGGAATAGGCTCCCGAGTTGTTGGCACAATCCAGTTGTTAAGATGTAGAGATAAAGTCCCTGTCTTCTTGCTGCATGAGCACTTCTCTCAACTCTCCTTTCCAGAGGTCTTTGCCTGGTGACCCCCCCACATCTCAGCAATTAAGATCCATCCTTATGTCATTTACCTCTCATGTTTTGAATCACTATGGCATCTTTTTCTACCAGCCAGGAAAACAAAACAAAATAAAGCTCTGCTTATAAAAGGCTCATGTGATTAGAGTCGGCCTACTCAGATAATCTCTCTTTTGCCCTATAATGTAATATGATCACCACAGGGTATGCACCATGGGGTGAAGGTTGTAGGGCCCTCTAACCTTTCTCCCTACCACAATCTACCTTCTGGTCCCCATGACTCATGCCCTCCCCCTTGCAGAATACATTCACCTCCCACCACAAGTCCTACTCCATTATAGACGTCAGTCAAGTTCCAAATCTCATCTGTTCCAGAATGCAAAATCTCATCATCTATATATTCTAGCCACCACTTGTCTGCCAGTTTGAATTACAAGTCAATGTAAGGAGACCACAATCCTCACAACTGGACCAATAGACAGGTAACATCACAATAAGTGGAGAAAAGGTTGAAGTCAAGGATTTTGCCTTCCTTGGACCCACAATCAACGCTCATAGAAGCAGAAGTCAAGAGATAAAAGACATATTGCATAGGTAAAACTACTGCACAAGACCTTTTTTTATTATTTTAATAAATCATTTTATTGGATGCTCTTACAGTTCTTATAACAGTCCATACATCAGTTGTATTAAGCACATTTATACATATGTTGCCATCATCATTTTCAAAACATTTTCTTTCAATTTGAACCTTTGGTATCAGTTCCTCTTTTTTCCCTTCCCTTCCACCACCCCCTATCTCTATCCCCACCCCCAACAAGACCTCTTTAGAGTACTGAAGAGCAAAGGTGTTATTTTGGGGACTAAGTAACACCACCCAAGCCATGGTGTTCTCCATTGCATCACATGCATGTGAAAGTTAGACATAAGGAAGACCGTAGATGCATTTGAATTTTTGTGCTGGAGAAGAATGTTGAAAGTACCACGGACTGCTAAAAGGTAAACCAGTCTGTGTTGGAAGAAGTAAGGCCAGAGAGCTCCTGAGAGACAAGGATGGCAAGACTTCGTCTTACATACTTTGGATATGTTTTCAGGAGAGACCAGTCCCTGGAGAGGACATCGTGCGTGGTAAAGTAGAAGGCCCTCAATGAGAGGAATGGACGCAGTGGCTGCCTCCGTGCTGGCTCCAGCACAGGAACCATTGTGAAGGGTTTGGTTCTGTTGTCATGGGCTCACCATGGGCCGGAGCCCACTCAGTGGCACCCAACAACGCCAACAATGGCAGAGCTTCTCAAGCAAATGTCGATAAGCTTCTCCTGAGAATGACTTATTCAGGACAGTCCCTGAGCACCATTCATCGCCATCTGTGGACCTGTGACTAGAGAGATGAGGTGTCTCTCCCAACTCTCCAAACATACAAGATAATAGTTACAAGCATTCAGGTTAAAAAAGGAGGAAACGAAAGGTAAAGAGGAGTCATCAGTCTAATGCAGCTTTGAAATCACACTGGGCAAATCCCAGGAGTTTCTTACATAGGTTTCCAGACCAGGGAACAGTCATTCCTAGTGCCCAGCTCTCCTGCCTCGGCTGTTGGTTTTGCTCTCAGGACACGTGGCCCTGACATCTGTCATTTCCCTTTGTTCATGAAAAGTAGCATATGTTTGCCCCGAGTAGTTTTATCAACCTGCTTCCTGCCAGTAGACAAGAAGGGGGGAGTTCAGCAACCTCCTTTCCTCTGAGCCCTCTGAATCACTCAGCCCGTGGTGGTGGTGGTTTTTACAGATGCAAAATTCTCCAGAGTCTTGTGGATCTTGCTTGGATTTCACTGGGATTCGCCTCCATATTCCTGTTGTGACTCCCTCAAAATAATGCTTTCTTACTGTGTAGCTTTTTGTGCAGGCAGGGTTCTCACTTACTCCACACATTGCTCAGCCTCTAATAAGCAAGTCCTCTTTCTGGCTAATTTGTTCTTCTGATTGAAAATATTCTGCCCAGTGGCAAATTCCTCTCCCTGTTTTTGGATCACTGGTTCAGCTTCTCCTCCTTCCACATGGAAGACAGAGCACAAGGACTTCTGGTTTCTTATCTACTTCATGTTGGGATGCTGATAGAATTTCTTATCAAGCCTGTGGTTCATACAGCACCTGCATTCTGCCTCTGCAGGTTTGAAGGTAGAAGACTATGGAGTTAGGATTATTTGCTGAAGAAAGAAGGGTATGACAATGCTCCCTGCTTTGGGGCAAGCTTGCAATGTTTTAAAAGCTGGTTGTGGCCACAACACAGAAGTGTTTGTGCTTTGGTATAGTGGAGCCAATTATAATATTTAGTAAGGATATTTGCCAAAATTGGTTTGTACTTACATAGCAACGTGCCTTGGTAGAAAAATGCTCTTGAGTTATCCAGCTAGATGTTCCATGTGTCCTGAGGTCTCTGAGCACGAACAAAGGCCACAGCCAGTGACTTGCAGCCACTCTCCACAAGCTGAGATGTCAAGCTCTCATAGTTCCTGAGAGAATTCTACCTGAATTAGGAGATGGTTTTCTGAGGCAGGAAAATTCAGTAGAATCAGAAGATTTTCAAAGCCATTGGGTTAGGCTTGGTTCTCTGGTGAGGCAAAACCAATGGCACTTGTGTGTATGCACGAAAGAAATTTATCTTAAGTGAGAACGGCCGATGCAGCTGCAGAAGCGAGCAAGCCAGTTCAGCTCAACTTAATGGCAACATCCGGAGAGGGTTTGGGTCTTCTGATTTCCAGGTCAGTTGTTTCACTACGCTACTTATGGATAAGACCTAAATGCAACACCAAATTTACTGTCACGAGTGGATTCTGACATAGAGTGACCCTAGTTAGAGATTTTAAATCTTCACAGAAACAGACAGCCTCATCTTCATCTCATGGAATAGCTGGTGGATTTGAACCTCTGACCTTGTGGTTTACAGCTCTCTTTGTAACCTATGGTGCCACCACTGTCCCTTACCGGATAAGAAGGGTCTTTCCTTTACCATCCTCCAGAACCTTTTCACTTCCCTTACAGGCTTTTATCATGGGGTTTCTTTTTTTTCTTTTTTGGCTTCCCTTTCACTCCTGCCCTTTATTTGCCCTTCTTGCATTGACCCAGCAAACTGTCTAGTACCTGAGCCTCAGAAATGTGCTTTTGAGTTTTACCACCCGTGATCCTATATCCCCAAAGTCTTGTTTTTGAACATAATTAATACAAAAGTCTGTGTATTCCTCTGTTTAATACTGTGTTCCTGACAGGTCGTCTGTAACGTGCCTCTTCGTGTTGTTTACTCATGGTGTCTTTGGGATGATTTGCCTTTCTGGTTGATTGCAGAAGTTGTGTATAAATTTGGGATGTAAATCCTTTGTCAGTTATGTATACTGGAAATATTTTCTTCCACTATGACTTGTCGTTTGATTTAATTTGTGATGATTTCTGTGGGTTTTTCAAACCTTTTATTGTGAATTGGGTGAGTGCAGTAAAACAGGGCTGAAGTCATAGCTGACCTCCTCTGGCTTCGCTGGTACCACCAGGCAGGGGTCAGGCATGCCTCCACCCGCCATCCTCTTTTACCTATTCTGACCCAGCTGTTCTTCCCAAAGTACGCTACTTCTGGGATAGGTTCATTAATCCCTTGCAGTGGCCACACAGAACTCACAGACAATACTCACAATCAAGGGGATATTTTAAGGAAGTTAACAAGTTACCAAAGTCAAGATCGGCAAACAGTAAGGATACAGTCATTGGTCCACAGCAGTACCTCTCTCAGCCAGTAGCCAAATGTCTCCAGTCCTCTGCCTCTCAGTCATGCAGTCCCTTGACCTCTGCCTCTCTCGGCCAGAAATTCTGCCTGTTGCTCTGCCTTACAGTCTCATAGTCTTAGCTCTGCTTCTCGGTTCTGGTTCAACTTCTCTTTGCCTTGTCCTCTTGTCTCTGACTCCTTTGTTCTGGCCCATTGTCTCCATGCAAACGTTTCTGGTGCCTCTGGTCTTGGCCTCTGCCACTTCAGACAGATCTCAGATGGGCTCTTTTTCCAATGGTCTTGGGGTTTCTCTCTGAGCCCCCTGCTTCTGAGATGGCCTTTATACACGAGGAATGGTTTGAGAGGTGGTGTGGTTTTTATCTTTCAACAGACCATACCCCAAGGGAAACGAAGGGTGTGATTTAGTTCACACCCTCTACTAAGGTTGAAACTTACTCTCACCTTAATATCCTGTCTGTTACCATAGCAGGGACCTCCCTCCGAAACGGAATAACACCAACAGAGAGAATACCTCACGCCAGAGAGTGTGGCTAGAAGTGCCATATTAAGTCATTGACTCTATTTCAGTAAAGATTTACAGAGCTAATCCATTTTCTATTCAATAATTCATATATGTTTATTACATATCGTTGATTTCTGGTGTCTTTTTAATGAATAAAGGTTCTTAGTTTTAATTTCTCTCTTAGTGGTCTGTGTGCTTTGGATCAGTTTAAGAAAACTTCATCTTGCAATCTCAAAGATATTATCATGTTGACTTCTGAAAATATAGATTTTTCCAGAACCTACCTGGATTTATCTTTGAGAGTGATGAGCCAGAAGTACAATTTCATTTTATTCTTTTCAATATAGGTAACATGTTTTAGGCCGGGCACCATCTAGTTCTGGTCTTGGATGGTGGAAGATGGGGTTCACATGATCCAGTATTCCTTTGGATAAATTCTTTCCGTGCATCTTTTACTTCCTTCATGTCGGAGAGGCCCATGATTGCTCCGTAATGGTTGCTCACAAGCTTTTAAGACCTCAGTCTCGAGTCACCAAAGTAGGATGCAGTACATTGCTGTACCACTTGACCTTGATGTCCCCTGAGACTATGATTCTGAACCCTCTAGGCCCAATGACTCATTCTTTCAAGGGGTTTGGTATGGCTATGAAGTTTTAATAACTTTGCCCTTTGTATGCTCGACTGTTCATTGACAAGTTTGCAGTACATATGAATACATTGGTAGAAATAACCTCTGTCAAACCTTTGTATATTGTGGGTGCTCTTCCATTCACCTTCCTACTCCTGTTTAGCATAGATGTCCATCCACTTGTCCTATATTGTTATTACAGGATTGGGTGTGTAATACTCTTTACCTTTGTTGCTTTTAGCACTTAATGCTCCTCCCGGTGTCTTCCTTTGCCTTGATCATTTTGTGCTAGCCTTGTCCTTAATGTATATTGTCTTTCCCTTCACCCAAGTTCATCCGGGCCTACCCTCTAGTTAATTATTTATTTCCCTTTGCCCTCCCACCCCTAGTAGCCTTCAAAATGAAGGTTTCTTTCTGAGTAAACCTTTTCTATTTACAGTAATGGTCTGACATGCTACTTTTCCTTTTGTGATCGACTGGAATCTCTCTCGGCATACCAGCCTCTAGGTTCATCAGTGTTATTAGGTGTTTTTCAGACTCATCATTAATTATTCTTTTAAGAGTGTGTGTGTGTGTGTGTGTGTGTGTGTGTGTGTGTGTGTGTGTGTGTGTGTTACATCCTGAGGACTCTGGTAACCAAGCTGAATTGTACCACTGTGTGATGAGAAAACCCTGGCAATGATCAGCCATTCACTGTCTGCTCTCTCAATTCTGGACCCGCTCCTCTTTTGCTGTGTGTCCATGTTAAAGCTATTGAGAGACACTTCAAAAAAGAAAGTTCTTTACAGCAGTGAGCACGAATGAATTCTGTAGCTGCATACTACCTACCACATGACTAATTCTCAGAACAGAATACTGAGATAAATAAGCAATCTGTGGAAGAGTGGAATCTTAAGGTTCCATTTCTGTAAAAGCAAAAACAGACCAAACTAAATAATGTATAGATTTTAGGCACATATGACTGTGGTAAAATGATACAGAATCCGGACAGTTAGTTCCTTCTTTGGGGAGAGAGAGGAATGGGGGTACTAGTGCTCTCGAAGGAGTGTCGGGTCGACCTTTCAGGGATTAGAAATTCTGGGTCTGGTGCCATGCAGCAGAGTTGCATCAAGGAGAAATGAGGCCAGAGCATGTCACGGGCCTTTCTCCTGCACTTCTCATAGGAATGGCAGTCCTGACTCCGGAAGGAAAGATTGTGAGCGTGCTAAAACAATATCTCCCACATCGTGGCGAGGTGATGGGGCAGTCGATACATGCTTGTGCTGGGATGGAGGAGAGCATGCCTGGGAGCAGCAGTGAGGAACCATGGGATTGGTATGGAAACAGGAGTTGCATCTTGTCAAGAGGGTCCCAGGGCAAAGCCGTGTCCAAGAAAAAGCAGCTTTGACTCGTTGAAGGACAAGAGATTCCCGAGGCTTGAACCGGAATATCGGAGTGGGGCTGGCGGGTGACTGCCCAGATGGTGAAGTTGGCACTAGTAACCTCTGACTGCGCATCTGGTTCTCACCACTGATAGTCAAACTCCAACCTTCTTGTAACTAGAAAACCGCTGCCACCTCCTCCAGGCCCCTAACCCCCTCTTTACACACACCTTCCCTTTTTCTGAAACCAAATTTCCTCAGCAAGCCCCCCAAATTGTGCCGTACCTACAATTCCTCATCCATGAGAAAAAGACAGCCCTCAACCTCCTTGCCTTTGCTCCTGTTACTACCACTTCCTGAACTTGGAGCGACCTTCCTAGAGCTACAGCGTGAAGATTCTCCTGCTGCTTCAGTCCCTTCCCGTTCTTTCCTTGTACTCCGAGTTCCCGAACTACTTCATCTCTGCTCTTTGTGAAAACATGAAAAGAAACGTAACAGGGAGGATCCAACCTCACTCAGTTCCAGAAAGCAACTTCACCGAGGGCTGAGGCTCTGGGTGCTTCGTTAGTGTCCCCAAAACAATGGGCACATCCTGGGTCCTTTTTATCCTGTTTGTCCTTCTTTCCTGTCTTTTGCTCCCTTCGTCCATACTAAGCTGCTCTGTACAACCTTGGCCATCAAGAAACAGAAGCTCCCCTTGGGTTTGAGTCTCTTGTCCTGAGGAGCCCAGGTCCAGGGTTCACCTCCTTGTTTTTGTGAACTTGTGACAACAAGCAGCCCGTGCTGTAGAACCCTCCTCTTGCCTAACAAGACATCACGTTTTCGTCTCTGTCTTCTACACAAAGACCCCTAATGGCACAACAGATCCATGGTGGTTAAGCATTCAGCTGCCTACTGAGCGGCCTGGGCTTCAGACCCACCAGCAGTTCCACAGGAGAGCGCTGTGGCTGTCTGCTCCCGTAAAGCTGACAGCCTTGGGAGTGCTACGAGGTAGTGCTACTCTGCCCTAAAGGGCTCTCCTGAATTAGAACCGGCTGGACGACAATGTTTTCTTTTGGTTTGAGTCTTCCACAAGGCCCCAGAGGCTCCTGTCACCAGGACTTCCACCAACACATTAGTGCTTGCTCTTGAGCTCTCACGAGGGATGTGGTCTAAGGCTAGGCCAGCCTTTGCCAAGGCGGGAGGAAGGAGTATCCGTAAACATCGTAATAGAACAGGCATATACCGTACGTAGTGTTTTTAGCATGTTTCCCTGGGAGATACCTATAAGGAAGTGCGCCGGGGGGTTAAGTGGAGAGAAAATGTTTTGCGAATGCTGTACAAATGCGCTTTACACAATTGATGTGTGTATGGATTGTGATAAGAGTTGTATGAGCCCCTAATAAAATTATTTTAAAAAACAAAAAAAACAAAGGAAGTGTGAATTTTGCTTCCTATCATCAACTATCAGCTTATACACTTGTTGTTTTTATCCCCCTAATTCTTAAGCAAAGATTGTATCTGATAACTCATTGCTCTCTGAAGCCCTGGGGGTTGGGGGGCCACATTGGCCTCCCTAGAATACAGGGCCCAGCGTAGACAATCATGTAAAGTAAGTGCTACTGATACTGGGCTCTGGTTACCTCTGTGCAGGCCCTGGTATCTGTGAGGAGAACATTGGGATCTGAACCCCAGGATGTAGCCCTCCCGCTCTGACCAGCTCTCTTTGCCTTCCAGGGAAAGTGCATTTCTTCTCCAGTGGCCTTCTGTTTTTTCACCGTCATCATGGAAGTATCATCATTTCCAAGAATCACATGAATTCCATTTCCTTCTATGATGGGGTAGGTGTTTTACCAGTCCATGTCTTTAGTGTTGAGAAAAATACTCACGTCTCTTCAACACCACCATGGGGCCAGGAAATCCAAGCTGCCCTTGAGAGGCAGGGAGGTCATGGGCAGGCCTGGGCGCCCTCAAGTCTGGTCACTTTCTGTGCTCCACTAAAGGCTCGGCCAAAAGAGGCTTCTGGGTCAGGACAGCCAGTAGCTGTACCCATGTCCAGTTCCCTTCCCCTAAAGGGGACTGGGAAGAAGGCTAAGGAAGGTCTCCAATGGCCTCTAGCCCAAGGATACAAAGGCTCACCCACTTGAGAATTAAAGAGAAGCTGCACTGATGAGGGCCCCATTTATCCATCAGCACAAGAAAGACTTGAAAGTGAGCCGAAGAGCAAGAGAGCTGGGTAGGTTTCCCTTGCGGGGCTTAACCGCACCTCCCTCACCTACTCAGCTGTTAGAACCCTTGCGCGCCCCCTTGGAACCATTCTTTAACTTGACCAGCCTGTGCCAGCACTTCCCCTTTGGGGGAGGTGTGTGGGTATGAGTTCCCCTCCCTGTAGTCGCTGGCCAAGGTGCAGCTTGTTTTAGTGGACCAAAGAGCAGCGTCCATTCGGCTGGTCTGGGCCTGTGTGAAAGCCAGGACAGAGACTAAGTGAGGTGCTGTGATGAAACTTCAATATGTTCATAGGAAAATTCCATGTGATTACTTTTTATTCCATTTTCCCAGGAACTGTATGAAGCCTTCCCATGCCCTCCCCTTATGATCAGATGTCTCATGAAACAAATTCTAGTGTGAGCAAGTCTGTCTCCACTTGGAGCCTACTGCCTTAAAGGCTGCCAAAGGGCAGGCCAACCAGCCTGACAGATTCATGGGCCCTATGTGATAAATCTGTAGGCAACTGGACATCCCCTTACAGAGGGTTTGCGGGGAAGAGACGAGCCAGTCAGGTGCAGTGTAGCAATGATGAAACATGTAACTTTCCTCTAGTTCCTAAATGCTTCCTCCTCTCCACTATCATGATCCCAATTCTACCTTACAAATCCGTGTAGACCAGAGGATGTACACTGGTACAGATAGGAACTGGAAACACAGGGAATCCAGGACAGATGATCCGTTCAGGACCAGTGCTGAGAGTGGCAATACCGGGAAGGTAGAGGGAAGGTGGGGTAGAAAGGGGAACCGATTACAAGGATCTACATATAACCTCCTCCCTAGGGGATGGACAGCAGAAAAGTGGGTGAAGGGAGACGTCAGACAGTGTAAGACATGACAAAATAATAATAATTTATAAAGTATCAAGGGTTCATGAGGGAGGGGGTGGGAGGGAAGGAGGAGCTGATACTAAGGGCTCAAGTAGAAAGCAAATGTTTTGAGAATGATGGTGGCAACAAATGTACTAATGTGCTTGACACAATGGATGGATGTATGGATTGTGATAAGAGTTGTACGAGCCCCAATAAAATGTTTTTTTTTTAAAGTCTTAATAATAGGCTAAAGAGTCTTCCAACATCAAGAAAGAAAGGACAAATCATTCAAGAACAAAGCCAGGACAATGTTTAGTGCCATAGAATCCATCCCAGTCACAACAACCCTGGAGTCACACTGCCCCATGGGTTTCCCAGGCTGCAATCTTTACAGGAGCCGATCACCAGGCCTTGTCTCCAAGGAGCCACTGGTGTGTTCCAACTGCCAGTCTTTCAGTTTGAAGCCAAGTGCTGAACCTTTGCACCACCAGGGAGGGCTCCCTTGTTAGGATAGTAAAACCAAAATAAATAAATAAATAAAACTCACTGCCATTGAGTTAATTCTGACTCATAGCAACCCTAAAGGGCAGGGTGGAACTGCCCTTGTGGGCCTGTAAGACAGTAACTCTGCATGGGCGTAAAAGGCCTCCACTGTCTCCCGAGGAGTGGCTCGTGCTTTTGAACTACTGGCTTTGCGATTAGCAGCAGCCCAACGCGTACCCACTATGCCACCAGGGCTCCAAGTGTAACAGTTCAGATAAAACAACTACACCCACTGCCCTCCCACAATGCAGTGAGTGTGTGAGCATAGTGGCTCATACAGAGCAATTGGGTCGTGCTGCATGGACAGGAAATAGGAGGGGCCTTCTGGCATGAGTGGAAACAAAACCCACGACCCTCAACTTTCCAAGTGCCCAGCCACTTCTGCTACTCACTGTGTCCTGGCTTCCCTCAAACATGCCCACCTGATAGCCTCCCCTGAATCAGAGTACACCTGAACTGCTATAGAAGCTAGGGTTCATCAGAAGCACAAGACCCCCAGTCTTCCAGGAGACACAGCAATGAGGGGCCTAGGACTCTCTCTTTACTTCAGTCTTCGTGAAGACTGGCATCAGTTGAAAAAGCACAATTTACAGAACAGTTATACTAGATGTGTTTGTGTGTTGTGATCAAAGTGCCTGGCTCCCTGCTGAGCTGGCACAGTAATGAGGGCTAGCCTTTTCGAACGTCTAGCGTCATGGGCAGCCGTCTTCTCTGCTGAGTGCGGTTTCCCTCCACTGAGCTTCAGAGGAGTACTGACTGGTTGGGACAACAGGATGGGCTCCAGACAGGTGCTGGAAGTGCCAGCTCTTCTCTGCTCCTTCTTCCTCTTCATCAACCTCTCGGGGCTCTGGAAGAGGAGGTACAGGGGTGCAGGTAGTGGGAAGCAGCTCTGTTAGGGGAAGGTGAGAGGAGGAGTCTCTTTGCTTCTGGGTGCTGACCCTACTCCCTCTGAACCACAAGTCAGGTCCACTGGGATTTTGGTAAAGGGAGTTTTGGAATTTATCCTGTTCCAAATAAGGGTAATCTGTTCTACCCATTCTCTTGGTGGCCGATTTTCCTCAGGCCACTGGAGTAGAAGGAAGTGGAAAACTAGTCAGACCTAAGGCATTCCAGAATCTCATCCAGCAGAGAATAGCAGCAGGTTTGGCCCACTGCCCCGCTATAGGGGCGCAGTACCCTGATTGCTGAGGCTGCCGTTGGCGCCTGTTAGAAGACCCAGGGCTGGAAAGCTCCAAGGCTTCCAGGTTTGAGATGTGCCCTGAGCTCAGTCTCATCTCTTCTACACCCCCACCTCCCTGTGTCTGCACAAGAGCACCTTCAGACACACCTTTCTTTCTTTCACTTTCTTTCTGCTTGTTAGCGATTTGATACTAAATAACGGAGTTGGAGGTGAAAGTGACATTCTAAATGTTCCTTTCCAGGAAAAAGGTAATTAAGGGCTCTTCCATCAAAATGCAATGTCTTAAAAAAAATTTTTTTTTTTGTTAACTAAAAATACAAAGGTCAAAAATAAAATAATACAAAGGTCTTTTAATTAGCCGCCATCATTTCAAGTCTTTGCACACTTCTCACTTTTGTATCCAGGCCTGCCTTATGCCCCTGTTTCGGGCGATAGCCTGCCCACTCCCCAGTACTTCCATTTCCCTCACCTACTTCTCCTTTGTGCCTTAGCTCTTAAACTGTCTTCTAACGTACTACCCCATTCAATCATTCATTATGCTTACTGATTATTGTCTCTTCCCGCTCCCCACCTCTCACCACTCCCACAAGGACAGGGATCTTTATCTGTTAGAGTCAGTGCTGATTCCTGAGCTTCTAGTTGCGTTTGGCACATAACAAGCACAATGCTGAATAAACATTTGATGGCTGAGTGAATGAAAAGAAGAAAGAAATGTGTAGCCTCCATTTATTACTGAGCAGATGACCTAACTACATAGGTGTGTTTCTGGACTCTATTCTAACACAATGCCTATTATATAATAAGCACTCGGTAGGTGTTGGTTAAATGAATGAACAACCTAGAAGGTTAAAGAGTATCCTCAGCATTGTTGATTGAATTGGAACATAAATGGAATGTCATTGCTCTAGAAAGAATCTTAAGATGACATTTTTTTGTTTAGGAGAAAAAAACCCATGTACTGCCCTTCTTTTCTGTAACTGGATATTAGAACATTTATTCTACTGAACCCCACAAAACCACATTTCATGAAAAGACTTCTCAAGGATGCTCCTTCTGTCCTTTCAGGATTCCACCAGTGTTGTGGCTGCCCTTCTGATAAACTTCAAAAGCTCCTTGCTGCCTCATCTTCCAGTTCATTTCCATGGATCAAGCAATTTTCTGATGATTGCCCTTTTCCCCAGATCAAAGATATACCAAACATTTTATTCAGAGGTAAACATCCGTCATTATTCAGCAAAACAATGACTACCTTTTTTTCCTCGCAATTTAGATGGTGAGACAATGTCTGGGCTAACAGTGAGGTGATTCCAGGAAGAGGTGGGAAGGTTGGGTGGGGGGCCGGGGCAGGTAGCTCCTTCTATTTCCTTCAGCTCCTGGAATTGTGTTCTCCTCAGGGAGAGCTGAGAGCCTGAAGGAACGAAATGAAGAGTTTTTTGACTTCTAAAAACATTCTCCTTTGTCCTCTTTAAATCCTAATTAGATGCATTTCCCTTCTCATTGCTTTATAGAATTATTGGGCTTTACCCACTGAGCTCCCTCAGTTTCTGTGAGCCTTGGGCTACTGACCACAAGTTTAGCAATTTAAATCCACTAACTGCTCCTCGAGAGAAAGATGAGGCTGCCTGCTCTTGTAAAGACTTACTGTCTCAGAAACCCTGCATAGGGTCCCTGAGTCAAAACCAACTCAATGGCAGTGGGTTTGATTTTAAGTTTGGGGAGCCACGGAAGCCAAGCTCTACCCCACCCCAGGCTCTCCTTCCTGCCTGTGGTTCACAGCCACCCCACAAATGCTTCCACCTGGCCGCCGCGTTGTGTACGCACTCAGCACGGGCTTTGCATGAGTGAGGGAGCTTACCACAAATTAGAGACCAAGCAATAACCACAGTGAAAAGGTTGGCCAACCTGGTGACTGGTGGAAATGCTTCTCCGCTGGGTTTGTGCCTTCTTTTCCTCACTGCTCGCTGGGCCTCCCTGCCTCCTGTGGCTGTCCTTTTAATCTGGAGACTCAGAGACTAGCCCTGTTTCATCCATTCCCCTGCGGCAGGTACTGTTCAAACCATTCCTGTCTGCCTACCCCTCCCACTAGGGTAGAAACTTTCCCTTCTGCCGCAACATTGGTACCTGATCCCTTCCTCTGTGTCTCCTGACCTCCGAAGGAGCAGAATCCCTGAGGAGAAGGCACCCAGAAAGAAATTCTGGTGTTTGAAAAATACAGAACAAAATTGCTCCTAGCCCCTAATTGTGCAGCACAGCTTGTTTGTTATAATAGTTTTTCTTCTCTGTACTGACCGTCTAGATTTTCAACAACCATCAAACCCCCATGTGGGTTCCACATCCTGTTGTTGGGTTTAAAGTGTTCTTTGCTCAGATTCTGTTTTGTTTAGGTCTTCTCCCCCTGGCAACGGCAGGCGAACTCAGGGCTCTCTTTAAAAGTGATCCAGGAAGATGGATTATCTGTGGAACAAAGGAGATTGTAAGTGGCTGCCTCCAGTGTTTATGTTTGCTTCCCTAAGCTTTGTGTGTGCGCTCCCTGCGGGATGACTTCTGTTATGTAACGCAGGGGTTGGGGTTTCTAAAAGGCCCAACACAACCATTTCAGGGCTGCCAGTCTACAGGTAACTCCAGTGCCTGGGGGAAGAGAGATAAAATCAACTAAGAATCAGAAGCCCATGATGTTGTCAAGGGGTTTCAAGCCAGCCTTCCTATATGGGCATAGCAACTCAGTTGGCCCTGTGCCAGGCTCAATCGTGACCACTCACTATGCCAGGCTGCTCAAGAGAGCTAAAGGAAATATCTCCACTCTGGAGATAATTAGCCCAAGGTCATCATGTATTAACACCGCGTTTTGTTTTAAGTCAGTGAAGTGCTTGTTTTGGAAGAGCACAGACTGTCACGGGACCCTGGCTCAAAAGCAGGAAAGCAAGATGCAGAATGTCCGTGTGCTGTAGGGAGACAGAATTGTGATCTGTGGGCTTCTGGTATTGCAGGCATGCCAGCGCACAGAAGCTGTTCAACGCCCTGAGCCATCCTGCGCGGGAGAACTGGAGTCCTCTGAAGCTACTCTCAGCCAGACTCCCAGAGCTGGACTGGTGAGCTCTGGTCTCCTGTTGTTAGATGGGATTTCAAGTGCATTGGTTCTTTCTTTATGACTTCTCAGGGGGTCCATGGTAAAAGTAATAGTGACACACCATATAAAATGTTTTTCACCAGAGAGAAGCTCTCTAAAGGTTTCTTTTTCAGCAATTGAGTAAGAACTTCCTCATGTGAATTGGCACATCCAGGCTACCCTGACAAAAGTAGCATAAGAGCATTGTCTGTTTTTCCAGGTTTCTCCAGCATTTTGCCATCAGCAGCGTTAGTCGGGAACCTGTGATGAGGACCCATCTTCCTGTCTTGCTGCAGCAGTCTGAAATCAAGCCTCCTCTCAGAGTGGAAAATGACAAGGTAGAGGAGCTCACTGAATATACTGGGAATTCACAGGAAGATAATCCTGAGAGCCTGCCCTTGGATCTTGTGTGTCCATTAACAAAAGGAGCTCAGGTGGACTTCCCTTCTAAGACTCTCCACCTCCTGGGATACAGATGTCATGGTACACATGAGACTCACTCTATACAATGACTGTGTCCTACAGCAACATTAACCCTGGCCAGGTTCTTTGACAGTGATACAGCCCTGGCACCGGGCCCTGCCCTCCCCTTTGCTTCTCCATGTCTTTTACACCCTTACTTGTTTCTCTCATGCCATCAGTTCTTTCTCTGTGTGACAAGGACTTAGCTGGCACTGGTTGACACGTTGTGCTTAATAAGGGGGAGGAAGCCCGTGTTGTATGGGTCTTGCATCCCCAGGGTAAGGTGATACTTCACAAACATTCTTTTCCCAAGAGTGCACTTTAATCTGCTCCTGGCTCACAATTTCCTCCTCTTCACCCGCCTCCCACCATTCCTTTGGAATCATATGCTGTAATAAACTCACTCAAATAAGGGTGTTTATTTTGTTGTGCAAATCATGAAGATGCTCAGCTGCAAGAGGCAGTGGAAGCACTTAAGAAATCAGGAGCATCACTTTTCCCTTTGGCAAGAGTTTCCAGAGCCTGAAAATGCCAGTTTGTTATATTTTGTTAAAATGGTACACCGGGACTGACCATGAAGTCAGAAGACCTCGGGCTGTAAGCATCCATGCAGTGAGGCGAGCCACAAACAAGAGTCAGTTGCATGGAGCAAACCCAAGGGGCTACAAAGTAGGGGTACTGATCAGTCAGCACAAGAGCAGAACGTGGGGTTTCCAAAGACGAGGCATCCCTGGCCAGCTGTGGGCTGACGTGACCAGTTCAATTGATGAGTGCCACCAAGGTTAACTTCAGTAGAAGTTACCTGTGACTGAGCCTGTCCTAGGGAATCTTGGATATTGTGGGATAAAGCATAATCTCAGAGCTCTTGTCATATGCAGAGACATACTTAAGGGGTTATGTGACTCGACCTCGCTTGCTTGACTTCTCCTTTTTTCAGTGAATTTCTTCACGTTGCTTTGGAATTAACTACCTGAAAAGCAGCTGGTTCCCATGTGGTCGCGTAAGAAGGTTAGAACCATCCAACCTGGCTCCTTTCTCGAGAACCCCCACATTTTCCACACCCATGGGTGTGACCTAGCCCTGCCATGTGGCTTAGCGGGCACAGCAGCCAGAAAGAAGTCTCTCGGTGCCTCTGCTCTCCTCTGCTGCGCTTACCGCGTGCTCGGAACCTTTCCTGCCCACGACTTGTTACACAGAAGCCATGTTAGCCCCGAATGTCTTCTGTGCAGATCATTGTGGTCTCACACACTTAGGCTCTTGTATTTTGTTACTGTATTTTAATTGACCTTCCCACAAACCCACCAAAAGCCAGCTCCACAGAAATTTTTATAGGAACGCTACCAGGGGAATTCTAAGATAATGGAAATTTTCCACAAACTTATTGAAGCTCCCTGGTACTCTGTTCTATGCCAGGCACTCTTCTGAGCAATAAACACGTGTCTGTACGAGTTCAGCACATCCTCCCATCCACCCTGCAGCATCACGGAGCTGGGTGACTTCAAAACCACAAAAACCTAGATCCAGAGTCATCTTGACTCTCACACAACGCCGCAGCCTCTCGGTGGAATTGCAGACCCATGCGATGTTTCTTTTCCATAGGTCGTTGTCAGCATTGTCACCGGCCTCCCAGGCTGTCATGCTAGCGAGCTCTCTGCTTTTCTGGTCACGCTGCATAAGGAATATGGCAGGTTAGTGCGGCTGCTGCCTGTGTTTTGGGAGGAGGCACGCATAGCTTGGGCTTAGACACGCACAGGTTCCCCACTATGAATCCTCTCGTAAGCCAAAATGGTGTGAAGTGAAAAAGCAATACCATTAATTTATATGGGGAAATACCTTGAGCATTCCCATACCCCAAAGACAATCTACCAAGTCATACACAATGACCCAGAAAATCTAAAATAGCATTAATGTGTAGTGTTCACGGGGAGTCCTGGTGGCATCGTAGTTACACATTGGACTGCTAACCCAGCGGTTCTCAACCTGTGGGTCACGACCCCTTTGGGGCTCGAACAGCTCTTTCACAGAGGTCGCCTGGCTCCTAACAGTAGCAAAATTACAGTTCTGAAGTAGCAATGAAAATAATGTTTTGGATGGGGGTCACCACAACATGAGGAACCATATTAAAAGGTTGTAGCATTAGGAAGGTTGAGAACCGCTGTGCTAAACAAAAGGTCCGCAATTCAAAACCACCAGCCACTCCGTGGGAGAACGATACGGCTATCTTCTACTGCAAAAAGCAACAGTCTGGGAAGCCTGCGGGCTCAGTCCTACCTTGTCCTGTAAGGTCCTTGTGAGTTGAAAACAATTGAATGGCATGGTCTGGTTTTATCGGGGTGGGGGGGGTTGGCTTGGTGGTGTTCTCAGACACAGTCCACAGCCCTGGCTGAGACACGCTGAGTGCAGTTCTCTGGAAGGAGAGCTTGGGGACGCCGGGCTCGCTGCTCAGGCTGGCTCTTGAACAACTCACTGCAGGACATGCTGACGGCAAGTCTTCCCCGTTTGCCTTCCTTTGTAAAATCAAACCCTTTTTGGATTTCTTTCAGTTAGTGACAACAGGCGCTAAAATAGGTGGTTTGTTAAAATGAAGCAGCATATGAGCCCCCAATAAAATGTTCTCTTAATAAGAAATTTTAACAATGAAGCAGCATTAAGAGAACTTTCAAAAAGCAGGAGCTAACTGTACTAACCTGGGGTGTCATGGTATCAGCATAGTAGCCATCTATCCACCCACCCATTCATTTAACACATACGCTCTGCCCGTGCCCTGTATGCCAGGCATGGATCTCTTCAGTTCAACCGTCTGAATAGATACAGATATCACAGTCCTCATATTTCATTCTAGTTTGGGGAGACAGGCAATTAGCCAGATCCGCAAAACAGAGTACATCAGTCTTTGGAAAGGGCTGTGGAGAAAGTAGCAGTGGTGAAGACTGTAAGAGGGATGGAGGGTGGAGGGGCTGGAATTCCAAGTCTACACGACATATTCAGGGACGCTGTCACCAAGAAGATGGCATTTGAGTGATGGCCTGAGGGTGTAAAGGAAGATGCACTGCATACATCTAGAAGAAAAGCATTTTTGCAGCAAGACCTGCAAGTGCAGAGACCCAAGAGCATGCCTGGTCCGCCGGGAAATTGGGAGTCAGTAGGCATGGTGATGCTTCCAACACCACAAGGAGTCTGTCTGTGTGAGCTCAGGCACAGCCTGACACACGTTGGTCTAAATGACTGTGGGGAAAAAACCACTCATCCATCACTCCCACTTGGCTGGCCAGTTATGAAAAAACCCTTGCTGTTTAAACCAGGTATTCCCTCTCTAGTGAGTCAGCCCTAATATACAGCATCCTGTAAGAAGCTATCAAAGAACTGAGAAGAATGAAATTGCCTAAAGAATTGAGACTTTGGGGTGGGAGATGGAAGGCCTGGGCGAGTTTTGGAGAGATGTTAGGGGAATATCAGAACTTGGAGACGTGCTAAGTGACGAATCAGTTCTCCCCGGCTAGTGTCTACTGTGTTGTTGCTGGGTGACAGAGGCGAGGGCTGCCTAGACTGGCCTCCATGGGAACAGATCTTGTTCTGACCTTGTGGGTAGCAGCTGGCTCCTTTGTCCTTCTGCAAACATTCTGGGATCCTTCGCTTTGCTAACACTGGCCACCACACTGAAGCATCAGATAGGAAGGAACTGCTTGGCCAGAGGGAGTTTTTCTCAGTTCTGACACCTGTTGCTCATGTGCTTCCTGACCTCTTTCCCTGTAGCAAAGGGCTTCTTATCAGCTAGGACTGGGCTCTCACCAGCCATGGTCCTCCATCTTGTTCTGTAGTGCCAGGAGTGCTCTCCTGGCACAGTGTCTGTGGGAGTGTACAGGTCACATCTGAATCTGCTGTGGGAACTGGGTGAGTCCACAGGCCAGGCCATCGGGTGCTCGCCCCTCTCCGCACAGCTGAGATTGCGTTTGTCATTTCCAGGTGGATGGTGTACCGCCAACTCATGGACAGCTCCGAATGTTTCCATGCTGCCCACTTCCAGAGATACCTTTCCAGCGCCTTGGAGGCCCAGCAGAACCGCTCTGCCCGCCAGTCAGCCTACACCCGCAAGAAGACCAGACTACTGGTGGTGCTACAAGGGTGAGCAGTTAGAGGTCCACAGGGACAATGGTGCAGGAGTGGTACCCTTGCATTTACTAATTTTGCATGTGTGCAAACCTGGGCACAGAGCAAACTGCATAGGAGCCTGGGGGGGGGTGTGCTACACAGAGTCACCTTAATCGAGCCAGGACTTCAGTTGCCATCCTGTGGCCTAGAGTACCTGATATAGCTTGTGCACAAGTTTGAAGTTTGCCTTTTTCATCATACTATTCCCAAAGGTGTGCAATTGGAAGGAGGTTTCCTGGGCTCAGCTCTTTGCTCATCTGATAACAATAATGGGCCTTAGACCTATTCCTACATCCTCTGGATAAAGGAGCTTCACCCAATCCAGTCCTTCTTCCTGTGAAATTAACCAAGATGGCCCTATATTCTGCCATCTCCAAACACATTGTCCCTGAGATTAGATGGCTTGCTTGCCTGGGAGGGTTCCCTAGGACCTTCAGTGAGGGGCATGAATAGTCCAGCTGGGTGAGGACCTCCCCTTTCCTGATTATGTGCAGACCTGTGAATGTAGGTTCACTGACTGATGGAGTCCCGTGTACACAGAATTACCACGAGACATGAGGTGGTAAGTTTGACTGTGTGTGCAGCATGGCTCCCAGGCCCCTGGCTGTTGGATTGATGGGGTCCCCAATACTCTTTAACGGGTCCTAAGGAGTGACTTTGCAATTATGAAAAATATTGACAATTGACAATTATGAAAAATAAAGACAGATAGACAGTGGGGCACAGGGGCTCCTCGTCCCATGTCAGGACTGAGAAAGTGAATGTGTTTTCCAATGGGGATATCTAATGGAGCTTACAGATCTTTCATAAGGCATGCACATGGTACAACTAACATATAGATAGTAAATGGGTAATATCATAAGCAGGTAACATAATAAACAAGCAATGACGTGACCTAGTACTAGTTGACCTCACCACCCCCTGCCCTTCCCCAGGAGTTTGCTACATTTTATGGTGGTTTGACTATAGAACCCGATTGCTCTTATCTACAGATAACCTCAGGCACAGTGAAGTAGCCAGACACAGATATGATTCATCTATATTGTAGCTCCTTTACAGAGGTGGGGGGAGGTATTGGAGGGACTGTGTCCAGTCTTGAGAATGTATATTAAGATTTTTTTATATCTCACAACCATGAGGGTCTTCCCCCACCAGAGTCAGCTTTCCAGATCTGTAATTATGAGCATGGATGATTTAGCTGCATTACATTCTCATCCCACCCCTCAAATGACCACACCTGGCTGCAGCGGGGAACTTCCCTTGGCCTGTTCTAAGACCTTCCGGGGAGGAGCTCCCAGCTGGCCAGCCCATCACCACGCCAGGCCCAGAGGGGAGCAGGCCAGGTCAGGGAAAGCATGGGCGATGCTTTGCACTAGTGTCATTATGATCGCTAATAAAGAAGCTTGTGGCAGTCCTCACAAAGTACTTTTATTCTATGCTGTTGTTTGTGCTTGTAATAATTAATACTTGCAATTGGCTAGTTATTTCCAGTAACAAATGGGCCCAGCTCCCAAACCCTGTAGTCTCCTGGCTGTGATGATGAGAAACGAGGAAAGTAAGGCGAGTGATCAGGAGGCGGTGATAGGAATGTGCTGCCCGCCCGCCCCCCTCAGGCCACTGTTCCACGTCTTAAGACCTTGTCCTCAGACCTCTGCTCGGGCTTCTCTTCTGTCAGCCTACATAGGTCCTACAGAGGGCCCGAGGTTTTGGAAGCACGAAAGAAGAATCTGGGCCTGAAACCACTTGTTTTCTATTGCTTCTAATAGTCAAAAAAAAAGAGGGGGGTGTTGGCCCAATTCTGTCACCTTCTTCTGCTGGAGTTGGAGGTGTGGACCTGCAGGCAAAGATTATTTCATCTTCCTTTACTTCTGAGGGCATTCCTGACTCCTTGTCTCTGACTTTATCAGTCCGCAAAGTATCACCTGACCCAGCTGCTTCTGGACTGCCACGACATTGCATGACCCAGCCTGCTGCAGCCCTCTTAGAGCCAACATTGCCCAGCCTGACCCTGGGCCCTCCGATTTCCTGAAGTACTCCCATCAGACTATCGGCAGAATGCTGTGACTCCTCCCTCCCTAAAACTGAGTTGGCAGGAGCATAGAGCAGCTTCCTTTACAGCAGGCCCTTCTCCGGGGCAGAACTTTCCAAGCACATTGTTGAGGTTGCTGATAAAAGGAGACCCCAGAAGATTCCCCAGTTTGTAATTGTGCTCCCCCAAAAATTGGCTCATCGGGAGAAATCTGTGGTGTGGTGCGAGGTAGACTTTTCTCCTGCCCCCAAGTGGCTGTTGCCCTTTGACTTCCTACAGCAGCATGGGAAGTGAGCTTTGACACCCCATGCACTGCTTATGGTTGTCTTAAAATTTGAATCACTGCATTTGGATCAATTTTGAAATGACACAAATTTAGACGTGGAAGACAGATTCTTGCTTGTGAGGAGTTAGAGATGGAGGACAGAAAATAAGGGAGGCTAAAAGGGCAGCATGAGAGGTCCATGTGGAGTACCTTGATTGTGGCCGTGGTTACAGACATACACTCGGATGATGAAATCACAGAACTTAATGCTCACACAGACACAAATGAGGAAAAATAAAACTGGGATGACCCAAATGTTTCTAAATTAATTTTAAGGGGAGCCAACACGTGGGTTCTCCATCAGTCAGAATTGACTCAGTGGCAACAGGTTTGATTGTTCTTTGTGCGTGTGTGTCTGCTTATACCCTGGAGTGTGGTAGAAGTTGTTCTTTACAATTTCTACATTAAAAACCAACTGTCTCTCAAAATAAAAAGTGGATTAATGGCACACACATGCCCAGTCAAATAACAGCACTTACTTTGCAAACAGAAAACTACCCAACAGAGTCTTGAATGGAATCTCTGTTGTCTCGGGAAAGAAAGTGAAGTTCCTGCTGAGTTTGGTTTGGGTATGTTTTTTAGTTTTTGTTTTTAGTAAAGATTACTGACAAGAGCGGACAAACAAGAAAAGCCAGTTTCTTTCCTTCATTATACAGTCGGGGCAAGTTAGCCAAAGTGGCCCTGGTACAAGCTCTGGCAACTGGAGAGCCAGGCTTCCTTGTGGGCTGAGGGCTGGCTCCTTCCACTTGGAGGCAGGTCCAGGTTGGAGCACTGGGAGGGCCACAGCTGCTGAGGGAGGCAGGGGCTCCCTCTTCGTTTTTGTTCGTTTGTTCCCCTGGATTCTTTTATTTATTTATTCTAATTGTAATATATACAAAACACAAAGAGTGCTATTTTTAAAGAGTACAATTCAGTGACATTAATTATATTCACCGTGTTGTGCTAACAGCACCACAGTCCATTTCCAAACCTTTTTCATTACCCCAAGCAGAAATTCAGAAGCCCTTCTATAACTCCTCCCTGTCCCTGCCCCCAGCCCTTATTAACCATGAATGAACTTTTATCTCTATGTATTTATCTCACTACATACTTCATTTCAGTGAGGTCACATGTTTGTCCTTTTGTGCTTCGCTTATTTCAGCATAATGTTTGAAAGGCTCATCCATGTCACAGCATGTATCCAATTTCCCTGAGTAATAAGCCATCGTATGTCTACCACATTTTAGTTACTGATCTGTTGATGGACATTTGGCGTGTTGCTGTCTTTTGGCTCTTGTGAGTAGGAATGGTACAGTGAGCATCCGTGTACAAGTATCTGGTTGAATCCCAGCTTTCCATTTGAGTATCTGCTTCAGAGTGGGAGTGTCATATGGAAATTCTGTGCTTACAACCAAAAGCACAGCCCGGGCGTTGGTGCTGATCCCGAGCAGCCCCCTTTGGGTTCCAAAACCGTAACTGTTTACGGAGCTACTGGTGGTTTCGAACTGCTCACCATGCGAATTACAGCCCGGTGCTTAACCAGTCCACCACCAGGGCTGCTTTTGCAGAACTGCCTGGGAATTCCCTAGCCATTTTTTCTAAGGAAAATCCTATTGCATTAAAATGACCCAAGTCTTCAATCTTTGGTTTATAAGTCTTTCAACCTCCATTTCTACACTATGAAATGAGAGTGTGTATTCTCATACTGAACTTATGAAATAAAAAGCTCAAAATGCTTTTGAGTTTGTTTGTTTGTTTGTTTGTTTGAAGAGTACAAAAGATAATGCTGAGGAGCAAGGCTGAAGCAATGAAACACGTTGAATCCATTGGACGCTTCCAAGAAGAAACTAGAGGGAGCCCTGAGGGTGTGGTAGTCATGTGTTGGGTTGCATTTCACAAGGTCAGCAGCTCAAAACCACTAGCCTCTCCTTGGGAGAAAGTCCAGGCTTTCTACTCCTAGAAACAGTTCGTCTCGGAAACCCACAGGGGCAGTTCTGCCCTGTCCTATAGGGTTGCTTTAAGTCAGCATCGACTCGATGGTAACGTGAGAGGGAGAGAGCGAGAAGAGATTGAGGCAGTATGTGTCAGTCTGGTTTACTTCGTGCTAGGCGGTGTGCTGGTGTGTAGGCTATTCTGGCCACCAGGCCTACCGGAGCACTGCCGAGTCAGGGGAAAGAGCCCCACCCGGTGACATACACACATGCCTGGGCAGAAGAAGAAGTTTGTACGAGGTCCAAGGGAGCAGAAAGACTTTCGGCCTGGCAGGCACTTGCGTGGGGTTGGGTTGAGGTGAGTATGGGGATGTTATTGTTGTTGATAGGTGCCATGGAGTTGGCTCCGACCAGATCAGCCCTGTGTACAACAGAATGAAAACTTGCACGGTCCTATATACGATCCCCACAATTGTTCCTGTGTCTGAGCCCAGGGACGCAGCCACTGTCAATCTATCTTATTGAGGCCTTCCCTTTTTCCTGCTGTCCTCCACGTTACCGAGAATAATGTCCTCCACGTTACCGAGAATGATGTCCTCCACGTTACCGAGAATGATGTCCTCCGGGAACTGGGCTCTCCTGACAACATGTCCAAAGTATGTAAGGCGAAGTCTTGTCATCCTCTGAGGGACACTCTGGCCTTCCTTCT